GGCACATGAATTCTTCCCACATCACTCAGCTAAGCTGAGGTCACACAGTTCTTGTGTGAGTCACTGTTCTTTATCCTTTCTTCCTGGTGCGAGCTGCTTCCTCTCTTTCTGGAACTGCAAGCCACTTTGTTCCTGTCCTGCAAGGCAGTTATGCTTTGTAAATCTGCTTGCCTGTAGTTCTCCCAATTTATCTCTTCCTTGAGCTTCCTGGGCCTAATGCTTGATGGCAAGAAGTCCTTTTTGGCCCTTCAGTGAACCCATGGCATGTGGTATCTCTCTTCTTCAGCTTAACTTCAGAGTATGCAACAACTCATGTTGCTTTAGAACCAAAGCTGGTGACTCATGCCATAGCTTTTGCAAATTTTAAGATTGTTTTCCCACTATTTTTAAATACCCATGGACATTTTTAATTTTCCAGTCATTGCTGAGGGCTCAGAGACTCAAGAAGCAGCTGTAATGGTCATATAACTGTGTAAGGAACAAAGAGGAGACTCAAAGTACCAAGCACCATAACCCCTGGGGCTTTCCTGCCACCCTGGAGCATCTGCCCTTCAAACAGGCCAGTATAGCTGAGGTTTCAGGAGGCACAGAATGTGGCTCTGTATTCTGTCTCTGTGAATAATGAAAACCCTTGTGCAGATGGGGAGGGGGGTGGTCAAACTTGCTGAGCTTACTTATAGGAAAAATGCTTGCATTTCTTTTCTTCCTAAGAATAGTATCTGGCTTGTTCCTTTTCACAAAGGAAAAATGTTTGAGGCGCAGTACTTCTAGCCTTAGCTTCTTAGTGCCAGTTGCTCAGAGGGCAGTGCCATGCTGCAAGACAGGAAGCAAGCTCAGCTACATGAGAAGCAGAACTGAGCACAGTAGATTTGGTCACCAACTAGTGGCACTCACTTGAGATCATCTGCAGGCTTTTGTTTTTGCAGTACTGGGGACCATACCGAGAGCTTTGCACATGCTAGGCGGCACACTCTGCCACCGAGCTATCCCCTAGCCCTCTGTCTGAAGCTTTGTGTTGCACTTCTGAATCTTGTTTTTCCTTAAAAGGACAAGCAGTCACCTGAGCTTTTCCCTTTGGAGTGTTTTATTTTCTAAAAATGCTTTTGGGCTTTTTTTTTGAGAAAATCTCACTGTGTATCCCAGGATGGGTACAAACTCAAAATCCTCCTGCTCAGCCTCCTGATCACTGAGATTACAGGCTTTCATTGATCCTGTCAATAACCACACAGAGTCCAGCATCCTTAGCCTCATTTTACACATGCAGGCCTGACACTTGTAAAGGTAGGGTAACGTGCCTAAGCTTCACAGCCCGCAAATTACAGAATACTTGTATACATTCCACGTCCAGGCCATCAGACTGCTAGGTCCAGAAAGCACCCACTTGCAATCCACAATAGATAGCTCCTTCCTTACAACCTTGCTTCTATATTAATCTGCCATTCTGTTTATTCTAAAAAAATTTCTACCCTTGGGCCGGGGATTTAGTTCAGTGGTTTCGCTGCCTGCTACGAAAGCACAAGGACCCGAGTTCAATCCCTGGTACCAAAAGAAAAAAAAACAAAATTTCTACCCACAGAAACCCTACATAGCTGAGAGGTTTGTTGATCTGACATTTTGAAAACATGCACAGGACAAGTTTTCAGATGTCACCTAAGCAGTGACAGACCTGAATTGAGTCTGATTATAGAATCCATGGGCCATCCAGAGAAAGCAAGCATGTCCTCATTTTAATTAAGGTGTCACAAAGATGATACTGCGCTAATACTAAAAATAAGTACTGCTGCCAAAATCAAATGACTTCTTTTTTTTTTTTTTAGGCAGGGTCTTGCTTTGTAGTCCAGGCTGGCCTTAATTTTACTGTGTAGCCTAGACTTGGCTCAAACTCTCAATCCTCCTTCTTCAGCTTCCTAAGTGCTAGGACTACAGGCCTGCACCACCACGCCTGGTTCTCTGTTTTCTATCTGTATTTTTTTTTTTACAACTATCTGTCTGAAAAACAGGACATCTCAGAGTGAGCTTAGCAAGGCACAGTGACCAGGTCTGGTGGTGTCAGTAGGCAGCCTGCATGAAGACTTCACCCTAAACTCCCTGTCAGGGGGCACTGTGGATTGATCAGAATGAGCTTTGGGGGAAAGCCTGATCAAGGGTTTGCAAAGGTAAGTTAGTTTTCTTCCGCTCTAATATATCAGACTCGTGGAAATCAAAATTATCTTTATAGGAGAAATGGACCAAAGTGAAAAGGAGGTGAGTTTACTGTAGGTCCTACCCTTGGTAAATACATTGCCCAAGATTAGGAAACGTTCCCACCCACTTGGAGATCCTCTCTCAACAAAACATGAGGTAGCATTTGAGGAAGGAACCAGTGAAAAATGAGAAAGAAGTAGAGAGCTCAGTGATTTTGAGGGTTCATTGTAGTTCTGCAGAATTCAGTTTCGTCTTCCAAGCACGTTTTCCTCTCAGTAACGTGTGTCGTGCAGAGCCCAGTTTCCCTGTTCCCCAAGGAGAAGTGAGGCACTTTGTACCCCTGGGATAGACTGGGGTTTGGTGTGTGAGGACTGCTGTGTGCTGGGTGGGGTGAGCTCTTTATTGTTTACCCACCTTGATGCTTTAAAAATAGCCCAGCCGGCAGCGAGCTGCTGGAGATGTCAGTGCTTGCGCCCATATATGGAAGCCTGTCACTCTGTAGGTTGACCTCACATGCCTCTGCAGCCCCCTTAAGTCCCTTTAAGGCTGTTCTGAATCACATGAGCTGTTGGGGCCAGCTTTGATCTGAATGCAGTGACAGACCCTGGCTCAAGTAGGAACCAATTAGCTGCTGTCTCTGTCTCTTCCCGTCTCACATTCTTGCTACACTGTGTGGTCACCTTTCTGCTCTCTGCTCTATTAACTGAAATTTTTTTCCTCAGTACTGGGGATTGACTAAGGGTCTTCACACTGAACTATATCCCCAGTTGTCTCTTATTTTTTATTTTAAGGCAGGGTCTCACTAAGTTGCTAAGGTGGCCGAGCTGGCCTTCAACTTAATGATCCTCCTGCCTCATCCTCTCAGAGTGCTGGGGTTACAGGCATACACAGCCACACCTGGCTATTAACTGAATTTTTCATGTCATCATAAACCCACCTCTTAAATGTGCTGATGCCCTGATTTTAAGTGTTCTGTACAAGTTTCTAGCTGGCCTTATAGAAATGCAGGTCCCCACCAGTTTGTTTTACGTTTGCAAATGAATGGCAAGGTGTCTAACCCTGCGTTCCCACCAGAGAGCCACACCGTATGGAGAAGTCTGTTCCACCTGTTAGCTGCCCCTGCTAGAGCCCTGGTGTTGCCCTCTCAGTCCAGGTGGCTGGAGCCAGTCTCTCTCCTGAGCACACGCTTCTCAAGTTGGAGACATACACATGGGCATGCATACACACACCCCTCACTAGACACTTTTAATGAGATTTATATCGGAGGATATATGAACTATACATAAATCCTTACACATTTAAAGGAAGGGATATCCCTTTCTGCTCATTGAGTTATCAGCTTAGAGAAAAATGGTCATTTTGAGCCATTGGATTTAACCTCAGGCATCACTATTAGAAGACTTGGGGCTTTTCCAATTTTATACAAGGAAAAGGATGAATAGCAAGATAAGAATGTTCAAAAGCCCACAGAGGTCAGTGTCATTCCTTTGTGAATTAGGCACTTGGAACCCAACTTCATCGTGTTACTATTCAAACAGAGAATGTGTTGGTTCCTCTGTAAGGACCAAAGAACCAGAGCCCTCTCTGGCAGTTGCGCTCCTTCAGCTGTTGGCCTTAGGAGTTGGCCTTGAAGTTAATAACAAGTAACATTTACCCTTCCGTTTCTAGCAGACCAAGCTCTTTCCAGGGCGTCGTTCCTGAGCCTCGTAATAACTGTGTGAGATAAGCCTTGTCATTTCCAATGTGTGGGTGACAGCCTGAGGTGAGGCATCTGACAGCCCCCTTGGTGTCCAGAATGGTGGCCCCCGGGGCTGCTCTTCATCACCAGGGCCCACCCACCTGCCCTCCCTCCCCCCTAGTCCCTTCTGAACATTCTTTTCTTTCCTATTTCCCCTTTTGTTAATTCTCTTCATCCTAAAGGACAGACAGTCTCGGCCTGTCTCACCTCCTTGCACAGGGCCATCTCCAGGTACCCCTCGGGTCTGTGTGTACCTGGAGAGACATCTCTGAAGGAAAGGGCAGCAGTGAGCTTTTGGGGGGGGCAGGTGGTACTGGGGATCGAACTTGGGACCTTGTGTTTGCGAGACAGGCAATGGAACCACGGAGCTAAATCCCCAGCCCAGCAGTGAGCTTTCGAAGTCACCCGTGGACTTGAGCCATTTAGCCTGTCCCCTGTGTTTACCACAAGCATCTGTAGAAAATGACAAGGTGCTGCCTGCCAGAAGATTGCAGCCCCTCACCACGTTCCTGTGGGCCATGACACAGCCATCTTCGGTGTGTGGGCAAAGGGAGAGTAAACGTCCTCTCTAAAATTTCCGAAAATGAGGAACAATCAGAAGTCAAACCCTGAATCAGTTTTCGAAACTGTTGTTCTATGAGTCGTAGTTCATTTTGAATTCCATATTTTAAACAGCTTCAGTGAGATATTTTTGTTTAGTGCTAGGGGGTCAAATCCAGGGCCTCACACATGATAGGCAAGTGCTCTACAACTGAGCTACATCCGCAACCCCATCTTCACTAAGTTTTTGTTCGTTTGGTTTTTTGTTTGTTTTTTGGTCCCAGGGATCAAACTCAGGACCACTGAGCTAAATCCCCGGCCCTTCACTAAGTTTTTAACACATACCCACAGAAAATAATTCTGTAAGGATGGGAACAAGGCATTTGGGTGCCAGTGCCAACCCCATGCCTCCCAACTATCTGTGTGACCCTCAGGAAGGTGTATGAAATTCCTGGAGCCAGGAGTTCAGTTATATCCAGTACTCTTAAGACCCTAATTTCCCAAGCAATTTAATTAACTTTTTAAAGTCAGAGCTCCCACATGGAATTTGAGCCTGCACAATTGTCCCTGGATGCCCGAGGAAAGGCAGCCACTCACAGACAGACCAACAGGGGCTTCCACACAGACCAATGGACTTCCTGGAGGTGGAAATGGGCTGAGAGCAGAGTGAGCAGGTCCCCGAGGGTCCAACAGGTGGGGGGAGCTAACACCTGGCACGAGAGCTGTCCAAGGGCAACCCAATTACCCAGCAGCCTCAGTCATCAGCTGGCACATGTCATGAGGCCTCAGAGTGGGTGGAGAGTTGCAGCAGGCACATATCACCTGAGTTCAGCCCAGGTTACACAGGTCCTGGCAGGCCTGCGATCAGGATCTGGTGCCCAGCCCAGGGGGCAGGGACTGGGTGCGAGCCAGAACAAGGAGCAGAGGTGAAGCCTTCCCTGAACATCAGCAATGCCTCAGAGGGCCTTAGGGAGCTTCAGGGGCCTGGGCCTCTGGGAATGGTGGGGAGGGCTGTCAGGGAGAAGCCCTTGTGGGGGGAGGCCAGGCAGCTAGGAGCCTTCCTGCCTCCATGGGAGCTCGTTCCCACCCAGAGCAGGGCAGGCCTGGGCCAGACCATAGTTCCCACAAAGATTCTGCCAAGGGTGCAATGCAGGGGCATCTGGTGAGCATCTGAATCTTCCCCCTGGAGCGAAGCAGCCCTGTAAGTCCTTCCCCATCCATCCCTCGCCAGGAATCACCACCTGAGGCAAGACACTAGCTCCTCTTAGGACTCATTCATCGTAGCCTAGGATTCTAAGTAAAGGGTTCCCAAACATTGGGTTTCTCTGTTTATCTCCAGAAAACCTTGGAAATGCTTTGTTTAATAAACAAGGATGCTAGTGACAGAAAGATTTAGAATCGTCTCTCCAGTTCTGTGTACTGTAAGCAGTAGCCGGCAACACCGTGTGCACTGTGCTGAGATGACCTTTGTGCAGATGGAAGAGTTAGCCTGGTCCCTGCTGCATGTATCAGGCTTATATCATGCAGCTGTCAGTTTAGCAAACGTTTCTGGCTTTGGCTAGTATGTCCCATCCACAGAGGCCCTTGGCCAAGCTAGAGGATGTATCCACTTAGCCCTTTATGTAATTTCCATTCTTCCACAAGATTGTGGTGCGGTCTGTTTGTTTTAATAGGGCTTTCCATAGCTATATAGTCATTTTATTTTTGTAATCTCTGCTCTGTTTTTCTTCCTTTCTTATTTTAGTTATTTACTTGACTTTTGAATTACTCTGTGGGAGTCAAGCCCTATGGGAAAGTTTTGTATTGAACATGATATCTTGTCCTGAACTGGGAGCCAGTGGAAGAGTAGAAATGTTGAGGAAGGGGGTGACACAACAGACAGCTCTTACAGCAGGATACTGCCCCTTGGGTGATAGTCCAGGGCCACCCCCAGTGATCAGTTTCTGGGGCTTCTCCCTCATACACCTAGGTTCCTCCCCAGGAGGACTTCCTGCCAACCAGCATGGTCCAAGGTGACTGACCTTGTGCAGAAATGGCTTTGGTGCCACCTGTGAAGATGTTGACATCTAAACTGCCCACAGAGGGGTGTGGCATTCCCATCTCCTTGCTTATTAGGCAGTTTCCAGGCAGCTCAGCCATTGCTATCAGTCTCCAGTTTCACTTCCTGGTGCTCCCAGGACCAGGCGATACTTTCTCCTAGGTCTTCTGGTTAGTCACCACGACTCAAGTCTGTCCCAACCTGTCAGTCCCTACCCGAACCCCAGAATTGCCAAACATAGGCACGACTGGACTGGAACCATGGAGTTCCCCCAGGTCACTTGCCCTGCCTGGGAGGGATGTGTTTAGGACAAGGGGTAGCCTCTGTACTATTCCCACATTGCTCAATCTGTCCCCAGCCAAGCCTCCCCAACCCACCTCCCCAACCCAACACAGGTTGCTCTCAGCATTGTTCTGACCTCTCTGGTGCCCCAGCACCATCACTGGGTTAGCAGGGCCTTGGCCTAACTCCTCCATTGGCTCCGAATACCCGGTAAGCAGAGTCTCTTTTGCACCCCACCCTCCCCACCTTCCAAACCACGTCCGTGACATTGCCCCAGAGATGCTGCACTGTGCCGCTGTCCACACTCTTTCCTCCACCTGGGATGGTGCATTCCTCCCCTCAGCCACACATCCTGTTTGTTCCTCAAGGCCAAATTCGATGTCACCTTTTCCCTCGATCTGTTGTCCCACCAGCACTTACCTGTCACATTCCACCTCCTAGAGTCTTTCTGGCTCCTCTTAACCCTGGCATTTGGGGGTGGTGTTCTCTCTGCCCACTCGCCCTGCATGATTTCAGTTTCTCCCCTGGCTCTGGCCCCTGCTCTCCACCCCAGCTCTCAGACCCATCATCCTGCCCAGGGCCCAGAAGCTCTGGACATAAACACCCAGCCCACTCGACAGCCTGCTCCCTGGGCCCTTGCTCCCTCCTGTGTGTGAGGGCCACAGCACTGCATGGGTTCCTGCTCTGTAATGTATGTAAGATGCAGTGTTGTTTATACCTTCCATGGAGCAGTTCTGAATAGCACATCTTCACCTGACACCCCCCTTCAGGTACACGCCTACATCATCAGCTACCTGAAGAAGGAGATGCCAAATGTGTTTGGAAAGGAAAACAAGAAACGAGAACTTATCATCAGGCTCCCGGAAATCTACCTTCAGCTGCAGCGAGAATACCAGATTTCTGCAGGGGACTTCCCTGAGGTCAAGGCAATGCAGGTAACTGGGAGCCCACTACATTTCATGGGATGGGAGGGAGATGCAGTGGGACACAGGAAGGCTCATGGTTTAGGATCAAGGAGAGCATAAGAATCTATCCTCCTGGATGAAGCAGAAACTTCCTGCCTTCCAGAACATTTTTTTTCTTAAATTCTTTTATTGGTATATTTTAAGTATACAATATGTTTACATTTATCATTGCGTGCTTGTACCTGTACATGATGTATCTTTGTTCTTATTTTTTCCCCATTACCTGTGCAACCTTCACCCCCTCTACCCTTCCCTATTTACATAGGGAAGACTTCATTTCTATTTTTTTTCTTTTCTCATAATTTTTCCTTTCCCTTCTTTCCTTTCCCCTTCCCCTCCCACCACCCCTACCCCTTTGGACCTTTTCTTCCTATTTCAAATTATCAAGTATTCATTTTAATCATTTTAACCCTATTTACACTTTCAGTTTCTCACACTCGAGAAACTATTCGGTATTTACACATGTGTGTCCTATTTATTTCACCTAAGAGGATGGCCTCAATATGCATCCATTTAGCTATAAAGGTCTCCAGTTTCACCACTCCTGTTCAATGTAGTTCTGGAAACATTAGCCACAGCAATTAGAAAAGAGAAAGAAATGAAAGGAATAAAGATAGGAAAGGAAGAAGTGAAACTGTCACTATTTGCTGACGATATGATACTTTACATAGAAGACCCAAAAAACTCGGCCAAAAGACTTCCAGGCTTAATTGACAGATTCGGTCAAGTAGCTGGATACAAGGTCAACACTCAAAACACAATAGCCTTCTCATACACAAGTAACAGACTCACTGAGAGAAATTAGAGAAACAATTCCTTTTATAATAGCATCCAAAAAAATGAAATATTTAGGAATCAATCTAACAAAGGAAGTAAAAGACCTCTACACTGAAAACTACAGCGCTCTTAAAAAGGAGATCGAAGAGGATATAAGAAAATGGAAAGACATCCCTTGTTCCTGGGTAGGAAGAACCAATATAGTGAAAATGGCCATACTTCCAAAACTACCATATAGATTTAATGCAATGCCGATTAAAATTCCAGAACATTTAAGCAGAAGAGGACACATAGTGAAAGGTCATTGCATTCCTGTGGAAAATCAGTGAGCAGCCCTCAGACTGTGCTCAAGGAAGTGGTTTTGATGCTAAGGTAACACCTGTTCCTCAGAATCCCGCATCTTGAGGGCATCAGAGCTGGGCATGGCCTCCAGGTCACCCTGGACAGCCTCCTCCGCCTGCCAGCATTGTGGGATTATGTGCTCATGTGGCCTTGTCAGGGCCATGGGGCTCTGTGGACCTGGCTGGGCTTTGCAGGACACAGGAAGGATTTTGCAGAAAGGCTGGTGCTGGTGGCCTTTGTCCTGCTGTCAGAGCCTCTCAAGTTGAGTCTGGGCGGACCCAGCTGAGCTGGGCCAAGGCTGCATTCAGCTCCTGCTCTGCCCAAGGTGTCTGGTGCCCCATAGCGACACTGGATAAGCATGTTCTCCTGAGAAGGCCACCCGACTGGCTGTGGGGCGGACAGTCCTCATAACTAGACTATGTTCTCCTCCGGTTGAGCATCCATCTGCACTCAGCCACTGTTCTTTTGTAAAGCAGGTGACACTGGTTCAGGTGCCTACAGCCACCAGCCAGTAATATGACCAAGTAAAGCCAGCCAGGCGGAAGACCACGGGTGGCCCTTGCTGACTGCCTTCTTTGTCTGTCCCATCTGACAGGCATGTGGGTCTGCACAGAGAGGACACAGTTCTGCCCTTGCTGTGGAGCTTGTAGGCCCCTGGTGGGGAGAGTGTACCCTGCCTCCATGGGGACATCCTGTCCAGCCCAGTGGTCACTGCCCTGAGGGAATACAGGCCTAATCTTAGAATCTAGATTTGTGTGTAAAATCTGGTTTTCAAATTTTCACCCAAACAGTCAAAAACTACTACACAGGCCAAATAAAGGCCATCTGCACAGCTGCTGTGCCCTGAGGTCTTCATCAGAGCTGCCCCAAGCCAGAGGGTGATTTCACTGAAGCAGCAGGGTGTGGAACCCTAGGCCTCAAGTCCCTGCTGGTCGCTGCTGCGGGGAGGAACAGGGACCACAGCATCGGCAGAGGCAAGGGCCAGCAGGTGGGGACAGCAGCAGGAGTTTTGTTCTAAAGGAAGTATTTGGTAATGTGAGCTTTCATGAATCACACACAAACACAGGATGGAACCTGCTGTTCTGGGGCCAGTTCTTTACACCTGGGTTCAGGTGAGTGCTCTGGTCAATCTGGCTGTGTTTATTTCATAATAAGAACAGTAGCATCTTTTCTCTCCCAGCAGTGAAGCAGAAATGCTTGTACCCAGAGGATGAACGGGGCTTCTCCTGTCACAAGAGGGCTGATTCAGGCATCTCCCCATGCATGTTCTCAGTTTGTGCCTGCACCCCGTGACCAAACTGCAGGGCAGCTGTTTCCTGTGTCTTTCAGATGGAACTTCAGCTAGACGGGAACTTGGTGTCTCAACTTAAATGAAAGTCATGTGAAAATACCCAGCATGGGCCTCCTGGGGCCCTCTGTGACTCCTTAGCATGATCAGGTTGTCACCATGTACCAGCCAAAGGAAGAGGCTGCTCCTGAGGCCAGGGCATCCTACAGCCCCAGACACAGGGAGCCAACTCCAGGAACTGAGCTACTCATGACACAGTTAGCCTGGGCCTGGTGATGTCACAGGCCACCCAGGCCGCCAGAGCTGGGGCAGAGGGACATTCCCTGGGAAAAGACACGAGGAAACCCTCATCTCTGGAGCAGCCATGGCCTGTCCAGCAGGAGGGCACAGAAGGGTCCAGGTGTGTTGAGAGGGCCCTGTCCCATAGCAGGTCCCGTAGCACCTGGTCACTTGTGTCCACTTATTCCTTCCTCTAAGAAATGAAATGGCCTGCCGCAGCCAGGCACTGCTCTCAGCCCTGGGGATAAATCATTGAACACAATGAATGAATGAATGAGGCTAGAAATAATTTGGTCTTCACACTGTGACACTGGCAGTGAGGCTTTGGGCAGCAGAGTCCGTTGTTGGGACATACACTGCTTGGCACAGCGTGAATGCTGTGGTGCTTCAGAGTAATTAATTGCATCATTTCCTATCTGTCTCCCTGGAAAGGCTGACTCCATGAGTCCAGTGGCCCGTGTCCTGTTCTCCCATAACCCCAGCATCAAAGATGTAGTGGCTGCTCAAGGAGTACCTGCCGAGTGTATCTTAGGGACCTATGTCCACGTGAGGGCAGCTCCAGTGGAGTGAGTTATCTGACCTTGGCCCAGGTCTGAACCCCAGAGGGCTTAGAGACCAGGGGTTTCCAGAATATAACCCTAAAAGTTGAAAGATTTCTCCTTGGGAAGCCAGCTGGGTCCTGACCACACCATCCAAGCCCACGGGAGAATCCCATGGAGTGAGACGGGCCAGTGGCCCGTCAGGAGTGCTTCATCCAGGAAGCTCCAGGGGCATGGTGTGGTGGGGGCCATGCCCATCCTGGGTCTGGTGAGAATCTAACACCCTCCATGTGGTCTCATCTGGGTCTGGTGTAGAGGTGGGGACAGAAACTCAGAGAAGACTGTGTCGGGAACGTTCCCCTATCAGGGGGGTCGTCTGGAGAGCTTGCGGAAGCCAGCTGTAGGTATTCTCTAGGCCTCTCAGGGACGGGTCTGGTCAGGGTGACTCAGCCATTGAATGAGCTAAACATGTATTTTGAGGCTTCCCCAGTGGTAGGACAGGCTCTGCAGCTGCTCCTGAGGCTGCCTTCGTCTGCCCTGGCCCCTTTCTGGAGGACATCTGACTTTTGGCACAGAGGTGTCAGTAACCTCAGCATAACAAGAACCCTAGAGATGCCACCATGACTCTGACTCACTCCTCCCGGAAGGACAGTGTGACCACTTGGCTGATGAGTTGGCAGCATGTCAACAGCTGAGGGCACCAGAACTGCCCTCACCTGCCCTGGCCCTCCTGAGCACTTGACTGCCACTCCTGGTGAACCAGAAAGACAAGGCCTGTCTTGAAAGCAGGGGCTGGGCTGGGAACTGAGCTTTGTCCCCTGGGAAGGAGAAATCCTGGGATCCTAGGCTTTGTGGATAGTTGTTAATGGGTCCATCCTCCAACTTCCCAGTGTGCAGTCATCCCATAAAAAGGCTTCTGTTTTAGACCCACCTTGATGGAGGAGATGGTGATGGTTTAACTTTAATAGACACCAGGCCTCCCACAGCTCAGGCCAGTGGGGGCCATAGGAACAAGCTTGTGGAGTTTATGCCTTTTGTGCCCTGCAGAGTAGGAATAGCAGCTGTTCCGTGACCACCCTTGCAAATCTGTGGCCATTTTCCTTGTTGGTTTCCCAAACATGTGCTGTCAGAATCTCTGGCCCTGAAAGCTAGTGGTATGCTAGGGTAGGCATCTCATGTTTCCCCCGGGCCAGGCTCAGGGGCTTTGTGTGCTCCCAGCTCAGGTGCACTTCTGAGCAAGAGGGTAGGTATTCATGTGCCAGGGAACCCAGCCTTTACCCAGCAGCACTGGGATTTTTGTGTAGGATGCTACCTCCTCCTCTTCTTCCTCCTCCTCTTCTTCCTCCTCCTCATCTTCCTCCTCCTCCTCAACTTACTCTTTTTTTTTTTTTAGTTCTTTTATTGGTACATTTATCATTGGGTGTTTGTACCTGTACATGATGTATTTTGGTTCTTACTTTTTTTCCCCATTACCTATGTGCCCTTCACCCCCTCCACCCTTCCCTATTTACATAGATTTCATTTCCTTTTTTTTTCTTTTCTCATAGTTTTTCCTTTCCCTCTTTTCCTTTCCCCTTCCCCTCCCTTCACTCCTTCATCTTTGGACCTTTTTTCCTATTTCAAATTATCAATTATTCATTTTAATCATTTTAACCCTTATTTACACTTTCAGTTTCTCACACTAGAGAAGCTATTCGGTATTTACACATGAGTGTCCTATTTATTTCACTTAAGAGGATGGCCTCGATATGCATCCATTTAGCTATAAATGATTCTAGTTTCTCATTCTTTATGGCTGAGTAGTACACCATAAAAAAAAAACCCCACATCTTCTTTATCCAGTTTCCAGTTGATGGGCACTTGGGCTCTTTCCAAGCTTTAGCTATTACAAACTGTGCCGCTATGAACATGGGTGCACATATATCACTGTGGTATGATTCTTTTAATTCTTTGGGGAAGATCCCCAGCAGGGGAATAGCTGGGTCAAATGGGACCTCTAGCCCTAGTTCTTTGAGGTATCTCCATACTGATTTCCACAGTGGTTGCACCAGTCTGCACTCCCACCAACAATGGAGAAGGGTTCCTTTCTCCCCACACCCCCTCCAGCATTTGTTATTGGTGATTTCTTGATAGCAGCCATTCTTTGTGGGGTGAGGTGGAATCTCCGTGTTGTTTTCATCTGCATCTCTCAAATGACCAGTGATGTTGAACATTTTTTCATATATTTGTTTGCTTTTACTTCTTTGTCTGAGAAATGTCTGTTCTTTTCAGATGCCCATTTTTGGATTGGGTCTTTGAATTTGGGGGGTCTGATTTTTTTCAGTTCTTTATAGATTCTGGATAGTAGTCCTTTGTCTCTCAACTTACTCTTTTCAGCCCCCTGCCTGACAATCTGACATTATTGCTTGGTGGCAAGGTTGAGGGTAACATGCTGGTGACTATAATCTGCTGGTGAGGATGAAGGACCAGGGAACCAGTATTCTCTTTAGAGAGCAGGCCTGCTCTACCCCACTCCCCAGAGGAGGACACAGCCCACTTTGGGGTTTTAGCCCAACTCCACAGGGCCTGATGGCAGTGTGGGAGGCCCTTCTCTAGAAGTATGCCAGGCTGGCTTGCTTCCGGCTGTGTCTTTCCACAGTCTGAAGCTCAGGGTGCCCCTTCCGAACGTCAGCGTGGAATTTCTGCCCTACCACACATCCTAGAGACCACCATGTTGGTTCTCCATTGCAAGCAACTTCTACATCCAACTACAGAGAACAAGATAAAGGGGAAATGGCCCTTCTAGACGATTAAATGTTATGGAGCTACTAAGAATAAGATTATGTAAAAATTAACAACATAGACAATATGATACTTTTTTCCTAGTACTGGGGATTGAACCCAGGGACTTCAGGGATTGAACTTCAGGGACACTGAGCTACATCCCCAGACCTTTTTTCTTATTTTGAGAGAAGGTCTCACTAAATCACTAAGTTATTCATGCTAGGCTTGAACTTCTAATTCTTCTTACCCAGCCTCCCAGAATGCTGGGATTATAGGCCTATGCTACCATACCCAGCTGACACATTTCTTTAAAATGCAGATTGTGTATCAGTGTGGTATTATTTAAGTAAACTGTGTGTGTGTGTGTGTGTGTGTGTGTGTGTGTGTAAATGCCTGGAAATGTATGCCTGTGCTTGTGAAATGATGGCTGTTTGTTATGACTACTGTGTATCTGTAAGATTACCATGCTCCTGGCCCAGCTGTACCTCAGTGGGGCTGATCTTACAAGGGTCCCTCCCTACTTGAGCAGTATTTGGGGTTCATTCATAAATTAGTGCCCTAAATTGTGTTGGAGTTTTTGTTATTTCTTTTACTTTCTTTCTTTATTTTTAGCTGATCCAAAACGAAGTTCTTAAGTACTTTTTTCCCAGATATAGTCCCTCTGTCCCAGACAGGATAGCATTAGTGAAGAGCCAGGAGGTGTGGGCCCTGGCCTTGACTCCATCAGGGACATCGTGTGGCTCTAAGTAAAACAAGGTTAAGAATAGTGCTGTCCTTCCCTACCCAGGAAAGGCATGCAGCTCAGCTGAATCCTGTGGCAATGTCTAGAGTATTCAGAAAGAGGAGCAGGTAGAAAATGGTTTTCTCAAAACCCTAAGTAGAAAAGGCCACAATGTGTTCATGCAACTTCTTCCAAAAACCATGTCCGCATCCAGTGAGTTTAGAGGTGGAGACCCCACGGAAGAGTGCAGGGTGGCTGGGGGGAGTTTGTCTCCTGCCAGCTGCCCCTGCCTGTTTCTTCCTGAGGAGAGAGCGTGTCACCAAGTCTGTGGTTTCACCTTCTGTAGGAACAGCTTGAGAACTACGACTTCTCCAAATTCCACTCACTGAAGCCCAAGCTGATCGAGGCTGTGGACCACATGCTGACCAGCAAGATCGCGTCGCTCATGAGCCTCGTCACCCAGGAGGAGATGAGCATGCCCACACAGATGGTGCAGGGTGGTGCCTTTGACGGCACCACCGAGGGTCCCTTCAACCAGGGCTACGGGGAGGGGGCCAAGGAGGGCGCCGACGAGGAGGAGTGGGTTGTGGCCAAAGACAAGCCCATCTACGACGAGCTCTTCTACACTCTGTCGCCCATCAATGGCAAGATCACAGGCGTCAGTGCCAAGAAGGAGATGGTGACCTCCAAGCTGCCCAACAGCGTGCTGGGCAGGATCTGGAAGCTGGCCGACTGCGACGGCGACGGCATGCTGGACGAGGAGGAGTTCGCGCTGGCCAAGCACCTCATCAAGATCAAGCTCGATGGCTATGAGCTCCCCAACAGCCTGCCCCACCACCTGGTGCCCCCCTCACACAGGAAGTCCCTGCCTAAGGCTGACTAGAGCTCACCACAGAACAGGGCAGGCAGGCAGGGCGGGCAGGGCAGGGCAGGCAGGGCAGGGCAGGCAGGCAGGGCAGGCAGGGCAGGGCGTGGGAGCACGGGGACCTGCGCCTGAGGCCTGCTCCACCACTGTCTGCTGAACAGCCTTGGGCAAAGCACTGCCCTCTCTGTGCCTCAGTTTCCCTATCTGTAGGATGAGGGGCCCAGACCCCGGACACCGAGGAGCTCCTTTCACCTCTAAAATTCTGAGTTTCTATTAAAATATTAGGGGGAGGGGGAATGGATAAGGAGATGGAAAGTTTGAAAAGAAAGGGAAACTACCCAGAGTACCGGGAGCCTGGAAGAGCCCTGGAAGGCTCCTGGGCCTGGAGAGAGGACTGAAGGCCTCGCCTGGGCCACGTGAGTGTGTGGAGCCGCACTGGGCTCTTCGTCATCGAGAACAATGTCTCAGCACTGTCTGTCCCTCTGAGGGCACCAAGAGGCAGCAAAGATCATCTTATTTATTTTCTTTATTGTGTTTCCTGCTATATTTAGAGGAGAGAAAAAGAAGCAGCTTTCTGCTCCCTCCAGACTATTTACCAAAGAGAAGGCTGATGCCCAGGTGTGTCTGCTAGGCCAAGCGAGGCACATCTGTGCCAGTCCCCAGTGCCTGCCTCTGCCAGGCCTCCTCCTTCCTGGACCCTCCCGGTAAAGCTGTAACTGGTAAGGGATTTGAATCTCACAACCTCTGTGCACCCCTGCTAAGACCTCTAGTTGGCATTTCGGGTCATTTTGAAGTCTGACAATTAGTCTTTCTTACCAGTTTGTCCAGTAGGTTATAGCAAATCTATTTATCAGACTTAAACCACACTGAGGGGAGACTTTCTCTCAGTATTTAGTGTAGTCCCCACCCCCTAAGGCTCCTGGGTGGGTGACGGACGGGACTTGAACTCAGCAAAACCAAGTCTTGGTGTGTACAGTGTCAGGAGTATTCAAGAGATCAGCCTATTGGAGTTAGACGCTGTTTGGTAAAAAAAATAGGCACTTTTATTATGCCTACTTCTGTTTTTCTTTACAAAAGGCTTTCTACAGACATGTTTTATACAAACCCCTTTCTTCAAAGTCATGTGGCTTGCTCATGAATGCCGTCTTCAGGCAGGACGTGGCCACTGTCCCTTCCACCGGCTCTTGGGTGTGTTTCCCAAGTCCTTGGGTTTACTGGGCCACTTGCTCAGACTCCTGGGTAAGGTGGAGGTAGGCACGTGCACCACCGCCCTCCTTGCTCTGAGGGAGGGGGTAGCAGGTGGCTTTCACCATTATTTATGCAATGGGAGAGAGTCACTTAGCCTTTAGCAAAGGCTAAGTGGTCTGGGCACCAGAAATGAATGAAATCAGTCTCACTGAGCCTTCCAAAAGCCACTTTTTTCCCCCTCTTTTCCCCTTTCACCTGCCTCTGGTGACATCAGGGTCAAAACTGCACATTTAAGACAAAATATTTACCCAGGCATGGCGGCACAAGCCTGTAATCCCAGCATTCAGGAGGCTGAGGTAGGAGGATTGTTGCGAGTTCAAGGCCAGCCTGGGCAACACAGTGAGACTCTGTCTCAGAAATGAGTAAGTAAGTAAATAAATAAATGAAAACACTGATTTTGGGAAAGAGTTTATCCAGATGCCAACCCTTGCATTCTCCAGCTTCCTTTCTAAATAATTTTAAGAGAAGAAATTGCATAATGTAGCCTTTAATCTGAATGAGCACTTCTACATTGATCAGACATGCAGGGGGAATGTTTGTGGTTCCAGTTCTGTGTTCTGTGCGAGTAGCTCTGAGACGCTGTAAGCCACGCGGGGTTGCACACATGATGGCCACCAGGGGCAGCCTGAGGAGAGAAATGGTTTGTCCAGAGGTGGAGATGCCAGCGAGGGTCGACTGTCCCTTCAGAACTGTCTTGCTTTTTTGACTCTGCTCAGTTGTCATTTATGAACATAATTATATACACGTATATTCTTCACATGACTGTGGTTTACTTTTTTGTTCGTTGTTTTGCTTTTTGGTTTCTAGTTTTGAGGTTGTTTTTTCAGTGCTGGGGATAAAACCAGGACATCGCACATGCTAAGCAAATGCTCTGCTTCTGAGCTACTCCTCAGCCCCAAATCTATATTTCTAAACCTTGTGTGTACGTATGTGGATATGGCCAGATTGTGTCCAAACCAAGGCCTAGGAAGGAAACTGGAGAGCAGCAGGCCGAGGCTCTGGTTTGTCTGTGGAAGGAACTCCTTGGGTGAGTGTGGTCTCCCCACCCGACCCCACTGCCCCGGCGAGAAAAGCATTGGCAGCTGAATCCCTTCCCTGCTGGGACCCTGGTGATGTTCTTGGAAAACAAAAAACAAAGTGCCCACTTCTTCTAACATCTTCTCTTACACCATGAGAAGTTCACTGGAAAGGGAAACCAAGGGCTGGTGACCAAGTGAGGACCAACACACCCTGGAGTCTGTCCAGAACGCCAGCCACCCTTCCCTGGCCACCCTGGTGTCAGAGCGGCCCTCCCGCAGTGTGCCCATGCAGGCGGCGGGGAGGGCCCTCGTGTCTGTCACAATGGTCTGCCTGACCCAAAGGGAATCTGGGAACCTTCAGGCCCAGTTCTACACAGAGAGTGCATGCACCACAAGCGCAGACCTGGTCCTGAGTGTGGGAAGGGAGTACAGCCCGTGTCTTACCAGCTATACGTTCAGAGATGTCCTCAGACTCCCAAGCTCCCAGCTCCAGCAGCCACCATTGTCCCCATGTCCCGCCTGCTTCCGCCCAGCAACGCAGATGGGCTTTTTCCTCCCAGGTTCCCAACCCGTGGCGCTTGGCATCCATCTCCCCAGGCCCGGGCTCCTGCTCTTCCGGACCCTTGTCAGGATGCAGCCACAACATCGCTGGCTCTGGGGCTGGGGCTCCACCTGCAGGCTCTCAGCCCTTGCAGAGCTGGATTCTCACAGGTGCGTGGGGCCAGGCATCCACACAGAGCGAAAGCCTCTCCTCCTCCAAGCCCTGGCCCTCATCCCAACCCTGAAGAGCCTGGTCCAGCACCCCCCGGGAGCCGCCTCTCCCTGCACTGTCACCTGCTGTCCTGTCACTGCTGCCGCCTGGGCCTCCCAGGCTGAGAAATGCCCAGGATAAGTAGTGTGAAGACAAGGAAAGCGTTTTGGCTTATGTCCTGCGCAGGATGTAGCAGGATGACATTTTTAGGACAGAGACACTGAGGTCTTTTATTTTTAACCATGTTAGGCTTGAGTAATTTTATTCAAGGTTTTGACAAAAATCATCCCCAAAGTAAAAATTTAGACACTTCTTTAAAGTCCAAATGTGAAACTTTTTTTAATTTAAATTTCCTTCTGAAGTCAATATCAAGTCAAAAGTCAAAACAGTTCTATAAATCATAAGCACTATTTTCCTTCTTAAACTCATTATATTTTCTGAGACAAGTTAGCAACTTGGTTTTCTTTTCTTTGACATTGGTATTTAGAATCATTTTAACATGGTTTACATCTTTAAATTCTAAGTTTGTAGCATCTTAAATATCCTATTACAATTAAAAATACAAATCCAGTTGGGCAGCTCTTTCTTACAGAAGAATTCCAATCCCTGTATTAACTATAGAAGAAATGAGAAAAGTAGCAAATCACAATTAGAACACCATTCCTTTTTTTTTCTGTAATCTTATTTAGAACTGGGAAACCCAAGAAGACACAGTCTACTGATCAATAAACTGACCACCCCGCACCTTCCTGGTGGCTCTGTGTTCAGGTGCCTGTGCCAGGTGTCACAGGAGTAAAGTATGGATCACCTGGGACTCCTGGAAGGAGGGAGAAGCCCGGGAGGGCCGTGCCTCCTCCACCCACTCACTCGCCCTCACCTCCACACCCTTCATGGAGAGGCTCTATCTGGGACACCCAGCTGGGGACAGAGACTGGGGGAGGCTTCAGCCCCACCGCAGCAGGTGGGAAGCCAGGACTGGAGGGATTGCGGGGTGAGCACTTCAGAGGCTGGGGACAAAGTTCCAGGAGACATGGGCCTGCCTGGGGTGCACCCAAAGGTGCCGTAGGGCAAGGGTGGAACCCCTGGCTGGCGCGAAGCACCCTGCCTCTTGCCATGCCTCCCCAGTGTGCACAGCCCTGTGCCCCCTGGCCCCACAGACCCTCTGCAGAACACTGCCCCTTCCCACCGAGCCTTGAGGTTTGGGTCTTGATTGGGAGAGGAGGGAGGTCAGGCTCCAGAAGCCACTCTGTGGAGCATGAAGACAAAGGAGACACTGAGGAGGGCACAGGAAACCCAAACTTGGGGTGACAGGCATCATTTGGGTTCCTGGATCACCCTTCCCCTGAAGTCTTCCTGCTGGATTTTTCAGTTATGTGAACCAATGCATCCCTTTTCTATTGTTTAATCCAGTTCAACTTGAAAGGAAGCTACCTGCAACACAAATAATCCCAACTTGGTATTGACCAGCAGGGTTCTCATTTTACCAGGGCCTGCAATTAATCAGCAGGCGAGGAACTGGCCCTTGTGGAACAGGCAATGGCTTTAGCTGCCCATGAGGTAAGGAGAAAGAAGAGCAGTCCCCAGCCCCATCCAACAACCTCACAAACAACCACCTCCATGATCTCTGTGCAGTCTGTTCTCAGGGCTCACGTCACACGAGACACGGCACCAAGGTCTTAGTAGGAAGAGAAGTGAACTTGGCCATCCCTGGGCTGAGGAGGTGGGGAGGGACCTCCTGGAAGAAGCAGGACTTCAACTGGGGCTGCCAGGACGGGAGAATAAGGAGGGCAGGAAGACAGCAGCCGGCAGAAGTAGCAGAGCTGTTTCAGAGGCATGACCTGCTGGAGGCCCAGGTCTCGGCCCAAGGGGCCCATGTGAACCACCTTGCCCACTGGACAGCAGAGCTGGACCCCGCCCTTGGCACAAGTGTGGAGATGCTGCAGGCCAAGGCCAGGCGGCTGGCTCAGCTCCACCAGAGACTGGTGTCTTTTGTCAGGGCCCAGTAAGAGCCCTCCCCACCCCAACTACCTAACCTTCCTGGAACTTCTCTGTAACCCGAATTATCTCCTGCCCCAGCTAAGGTACTGCTGGCCTGGCAGCTTCCTCTACACTGACCCTCAGCTGCAAGGCCTGTCTTACCTGTCGAGTCACCCAGAGAAAAGAAAAATCCCGTCTAAGGGCAGGGTCTGACCCCGATGGACTCCCCAGGTTCTCAGTGGCCTTGCTGTCCCGAGGAGGGCCCTGCTGGAGCAGGCTCTGGGGCCGGCAGAGCTGCTGCACAGCTGTGAGGAGGCGGCCTGGCTCGAGGGGCCTTCGGGGTTGCTGGAGCAGATGGCGCTGGGCCGGGACCGCAGCCAGATAGCAGGCGCCCTGCAGAAACACAAGGTGCCCGCTGCTTGCCCCCGGCTGCCCTTCACCTCCCGCCCTTCCAATCCCCTTCCCTTCCACTGTCACCGAGCCCAACTCCTCTGCTAGGCCCTAGCAGCAGAGCTCCACCGTCACTGGGCTGTGTGCGCAGACCTCTTGCAAAGGGGCCGCGACCTCAGCGCCCAGGGGCCCCCGACGCAGCCTGATCCCCGCGAGCGGACGGAGGCTGTCCAGGGAGCGTGGCCGCTGCTCCGCAACCGGGCAGCGCAACACGGAACAGGCAGCAGCTGCAGACACGCCTGCTGATACTGCAAGCAGCTGCGCAGTGAGGGAGCCCCGCGGAAGGGGCGTGGTTGTGGGCGTGGCTCCGGAGGCGGGCACAGTACACGTGATTTCTGATTAGCGGTGGCTTCGAAGGCGGGCGGGGCAGGATGGTCGAGGTTGATGGGCGGGGCTCTCTTCCCAGTATTTCGAGAAGGCGGCGGAGGCGGCCTCGCAGCTGTGGGATTTGCAGCAGGCATTGGGGAGTCGGTGCGGTGGACGGGACCAGGCGTCCTCCGAGGTCCTGCTGCTCCGCCACCTGCGTCTGGAGAGCTCCGTGCGAGCCTTCCGGTCGAGCTGAGGCAGCTGGATGAGCAGGCGCAGGCGGTGCATGGGGCACCGGAAGGGGACCCAGAGGGCACCGCAGCTGGGCAACATAGAGGACGGAATGGGAGGGTCTTTGTGGCCCTGCCCCGGGAATCCTGGCCTTCTGGTGGGAGTGGGCGTGGAGGTGACCCCTGTATCCTCAGCGGCATCTCCCAACTGGTGAAGCCCTGACAGGTCATCAAGGACAACTGGGTGTGGCTCAATTTGCCCAGCACTGTCCTGAGCGTTAAAAAGGTTCCTCGGGGAATGTCCCTTTATTTTCAGGCCTAGAGTGACCCTAAGCCCTTTTCAGCTTTCCCATCTGACAGCCCTTGTGGGTTTGGGATGGCCTGATCGGTGCTTTCTGAAACTCCTGTTCATCAGGCCCTTGGTTTCCAAAGGCACTATGGAGGGCCGTTGGAGGGAGCCCCCTTTCAAGAAGCTGGGAATGTAGCTCAAGGTGTCCCCATCAAGACCCCCAAACCTGGGCCCGAACTTGGGCCCTCTACCCTCATTCCCTAAGTGCGCTCCATCTCCTGGGAGCCCTCTGCCCACCCTCATCGCCTGTGCACTTTGGATTTTCAGCTGTCACCCTCCAGGCTGCTCATGTAGCCTGGCCATTTCATTGGTAGCTGGATGGGGACAGGACTGTGAGTTCTGACCAGCTTTGTGGTGATTCCCATTCCCAGGTTTGAAAGGTCCCTCTCTCCCTGTTCTTTTGTGTTTATTCCCAGGGCCAAAAATTAATGATTTTGAAAAATAGATCTATGCTAACAATTGTCTGGTCTAAACCCTGGCCTCCCTGGAACAGGTGGTGCCTGCCCTGGTGCCTCCAGGAAGAGGCTTGAGGACAGCCCTCTCTGATGAGCCTGACTTCAGCCTCGACCTCAGCACCATACTCCAGACACAGGATCTAGGATCTCTTGAGCCAGGACTACGAGAGCCTGCATGCCCTGGCAGAGGTGATGCTCCCTGCTCAAGAAATGTTCATCAAGCCCCCACCTGGGACAAGACCTTGTGCCTCCATTCCAGGGGCAAAGCTCTCTGCCCTCAAGGAACTGTGTCACGGCTGAGTGGGCGTCAAGGGTGTGGATGGATGTGGTGTGAGGGGTGCGCAGGGGAGAGAGCCCAGGTCCCCATGGGGTCAGGGGAGGCACCTTGAGAAAAGGACATTTAAACTGAGACTTGAAGCAGAGAGCAGAGAACCCCGGGAAAGCTGATCAGGACCTGAGCAAAGGCTAGGAGGAGGCCCGATGGAGGAAGCTAAGGCCAGAGTGCCCAGAGCACAGAGGCCAGAGAGACAGTTGCTAGAGAGCGCTGGAATGGCCTGTGGGGCCACCCAGAGAAGAGCCAAAGCCTGCAGAAAACATGGGTTTGACCTAAGAGCAAGGCCCTTACCCCAACCCTGAGTACCCCCTGGCTTCCTCTGCTGGGTACCAACAGGCCTCTGGCAGGATATGGGTCCTAGCCGAAGGGCAAGGACACCCTCTGGCCCTGGGCCTAGCAAATGCTAGTGGGCTCGGGTGAGGAGGAGCACCCCGGACTGCTCCAAGCAGAGGGACACTGACCCTCACCCCAGCCCTGGGCCCGCCTCTGCCCAGTGCCGCAGGGTTGGGTTGGTGGAACAGTGGCCCTGTTTGGCTTCTATAGCTCCTGTGGGGAGCTCCAGTCCTGGCTGGGGAGCAAACATCCCTGATTCAGTCACTGCAGCCCCAGGCTGACAACTTGGAGGTCACGAAGCTCAGATACAAGGTACAGCCCTTTGGAACCTAGGAGGTCTTGGGGTGCTTGCCCACCCCCAGCTTGCTCCAGCCACCCCATCGTCACTCACTGCTGTGCCCCGGGCCCAGTGTTAACTCCGGTCCTTCTGGGGAGGGAGCGAGGGAGCGAGGTGACTCTCATTCTGAGGGTGACGAGGGAGAGGGCCTGCTCACCAGAGGCAGACAGTGGGAGCACTCCAGAGCAGGGCCTGTCTGAGCCCTTCATCGTCCTGAGGGGCTTCGGGAAGCAAAAATGCCCCTCAGAGGCCTGGGTCCTCCTTCTCCCCAGAGCTTCCTCACGGGGAAAGGGCCACTGGGCTGAGATCAGCTGCTCTGCTGAGCAACTGAAGCAGAGGTATCCTGGGCACTCCACAAAAATCCAACGAAAGGCAGACGTGAGCCAGAAGTGAGAATCAGGGGAGCACAGGCTAGTGAGAATGGGTGAGGGCAGAGCCGAGGCCCAGGGCACCCTCCATGCAGGGGGAGAGGCTGCAGGGAGGAGAGGGATAGTCTGGCAGCTGCTGGCAAGCAAGACTCTGGCCACAGCCCCAGGATGGGCAGGAAAGTACTGTGCGATGGAGACATCCCTGTGCCCTCCGCCTAGGTGGGAGTGGCTGGCAGCCCTGAAGGAGAAGGGACTGCAGCTGGCCCGCAGCATGGAAGTGTGAGGGCTCCTGCAGGAGTGTGGACCCACACAAACCCAGCTGCAAGATGTGCTACTCCGGCCAGAGGCCCTGAAACTAGAGAGCTCTGAGGATGGCCACCGTGCCCTGTAGCTGATCCTGCAGAAGGTCTGGGTGCTGGGGAACAGGATCCACTACCTCCAAAGGGTGGCCACAAAGTACGGCCAGTTCAGCACTGTGACAGTGCCCTGGGAGGCCACGGAGGCGGAGCGAAGGCCTGAGAAGGGTGATGCAGTGAGGGGGGGAGAGGAATTGGGGTGGGGAGAAAGTGGCTAGGATGTGCTGTCAGAGGGGCTCAGGTAGAGGGCAGTGGTCAGCATGAGAAAGGGCCCTCCTGGAGAGGAAGGGCCACATGTTCATGCTGCCCCGAGGTCACGGTAGGTGGGTGCTCACAGTTGTCACCCCTTTCCTGGGGGACACATACCTATGCACAGGATCTATGCCTGGGCCACCAGGCCCAGGGCAGGCTTGACCATGCAGTGGTGCTGTCTCCCAGGCTGGCAGAGTCAGGCCCCATGGAGAACCAGTCCCTGCAGGAACAGGTGGAGGTGCTACAGGCGCTGCTGAAGCAAGCAAAGGACCAAGGGGCCCAGGAGGCCCAGGGCTAGGCTGAAGCTCAGGCTTGGCAGAGCTTCCTGCAGGAGAGCTAGCAGCTGGTGCGGTGGGCAGAGGATATCCACGGCTTGGCTGCACGGCGAGGAGGAGCTGGTGGACGTGGGCTCAGCCCAGAGGCTGCTGAGGAAGCACAGAGAGCTGCAGAAGGAGATCCACCTTTGGCAGGAGAGGTCAGGACACAGGGGCAGGTGGGCCAGAAAGGGAGGGCAGGAAGAGTGGTCACCAGACGAGTGCCCCAGGCTGGTGTCCAGCATGGCACCTGAGGCAGTTTTCCAGGGAGACCGAGGCCTGGGCCGGGCAGCCTGTGTGCTTTGGGGAGGGTCCCAAGAGGTGGAGCCCACCAGGCAGTTCCACCCAGACTAGTGTCCCCACCGTTCTGGAAGACACAGATCCCACTGGTCCCTGGAGTCCCATGGCTCAGGACTGGCCCACGGGACTCAAGCACGCCTCTGCCTGAGGGGATGATGTGACCCACAGCTGGCAGCCAGGGCCACCACATGCAGTCAGTCCTCAAGCTGTGCCCCCAGAGGGAGGCTGACAGGTGTCCAGTGGTCTCCAACAAAACTCCCCTGCTTGCTGCACCCTGCTCCCTGGTTTGGGGTTACAGCAACACAGAGGAGCTGAGGCTTTTTCTGCCTCCCATGGCAGAGCTGCCTGTCCCCGAGCTGTGTGGGCTGCAAGAAGCAGAAGAGGACTTTTCCTACCTGTTCACAAGCTCCCGTGGGCTGGCTGTGGCCCATGGGCAGGCGTGCATGAGGTGTGAGTGAGCCGAGTCTGTGGAGTGGTCCACCCACCCAGACATCGGCTGCTGGTGGGCCCCATTTTACAGGCAGGCAAGCAGGAGTGAAGTGTGGCATGGCTGGGAGCATGGAGCTGCTGGGTCCTGAGCACTGTGCCTGTTTCATTCACTACCTCCCCGTGGGGCCCCTGTCACCCACACCCCTCTTTCCTCAGCACCTCTGCACCAAGTTTGCAAAATTTCAGCGCTAGGTGGAGGTGGGCAGCCAGTGAGTGACCACCTGCCAGCAGCTGGTGGTCAGCCTGCTGGAGTGTGGGCACAGTGCTTCCCCCAAGACCCACCAGAGGCAGCAGGACCTGCAGCGAGCATCGGGGCCAAGTTTCGGGGAGACTGCGTGGGCCAGGAAGGGGCCTTCCCATGTCCCCCTCCCACACAACCCTTCCACACCATGTTTCTATAATCACTGCCAACCTTTGCCCTTGAGACAGGGTCATGACTGGTCCTGAGCCCTGGCACAGGCTGTGGCCTGGTGAAGTCTTTGATCTCAGCCAATTTGCTAAGTAAAGAAAGAATGGAGAGGTGTGGCTTCTACCCTGGAGGCCTTGGTAATCTGATCCAAATATTGAGAATCACGCAGGATGCAAGAGCATCACAAAGCAGAGGTCAGTTAAGTCTGAGCCTTACAGCAGCAAAGGTCCAAGTTCACAGAGACCCCCAAGAGACAGAAGCTTCTCAGGCAGGGCCAGAGGCTGGAGAAGCCTTGAGAGGGCCAAGAACTACTCAGGAGTCTCAAGCAGGGTGATCCACAGGCACAAGCCAGAGAAGAGGAGGAGGGATGACCAGACTGGCAAGGGAGGGGTTTTCACATTGCCCAGGGCTGAGCCCTCCCCGATGCTCTCCCTCGTGCTGGGGCCAGGACTGCCTGGCTGGAGCTGTGGGAGCTGACCCAGGTCCAAGGCCACCTCCTCTGAGATGCTGAGACCACCCTCAAAGTTCACAGAGACCTGCTGAGGGCCCTCACCCACATCCAGCTGTGAGCCCGGGGCAAGGAAGGAGAGTCCTTCTAGAAGTGGGTCCTCCCCAGGTGCGGTGCCCTGTCCCCGGTGCCTGATCCCCATGGCCCTCTCTCCTCAGGAGAAAGCCTCCCTAGTGATGTGGCCCAGGACCTGCATGCGGCAGAGACCCAGCTGAGGTCTCACAAGGCACTGGAGCGTGAGCTTTTGGCCACTGAGCACCAGGTAAGGGCTGACAGCCTTCCACCTGGGCCCCTGCAGGTCCTCTCCAGCTGGCACTTGGCTCTCTAGATCTCCCCCTCTCCCTTGGTCTCCAGGTGGGCTGGCTGGGCACAGCAGGACATGGCCCAGGGAGGGACACATCTTGGGTGGTCAGCCCTTCAGCCTCTGTAAGAACAGCATCTTCTTCCCTATTCCCTCCCTGACATCAGCTGCAGGAACTGCTGGAGGCTGGAGGCAGGGTGCAGAAGCTGTGTCCAGAGCCTCTGGCCCATGCAGTGTGGCAGAGGCAGGAAGCTGTGACACAGGCCTAGGAGATCCTCTGGCTGTGTGTGGACTGGTGCAGGGCCCAGATGGAGCTGGCGTGCCTCATGGCTCTCTTCCATGCCGCAGTGAGGGTGCCTTCCCCTTTGAGGGGCACAAGTGTACATGCGCATGTGTGTGCATGTGTGTGTGTGTGTGTGCGCATGTGCACTGAGTCCCCCCCATTCTGGAGGGAAAACAAGTGCGAACAGGAGGGAGCAGAACACAAGCCATCTTGATGCAGCCTGATTGCTTGGAGGTGGGGGAGAGGGGTGTGGCTAGGCTCAGGTTTGGGTCCACACCAGCCCAGGCGAGTGACCGGCTCTCATGTGGTGCCCAGCCAGTGTTGGGGAGTGACAAAGCTTAGGAAAGCCCCTAACTGGAGACCTAGATGTACCAGACAGTAACCTCTGGATCAGCCAGTGTCTGTTTAGTATCTGTGTTTAACTTCTGCTAGAGCTGTGGGTGCAGAGGGAAGGGAAGCTCTGGAAATGGAACTGCGCCCCTCATGAAGCCCACCTGAGTGCTCAGGACGTGGCACCTGGGGATATGGGCCTAGTAGGCTGCAGGAGTCCCCATGTCCCAAAGCTGGGTGGACCAGGAGGCTCAAAGTGTGATGCTGTGAGCAGACTATAGTTTAGGAACCCTCATCTGCTACCTTGTCGCAGTGTGAGCAGGGCCACTTCACCCTACATCATCACCCTTTGTTCATGTGCCTATAGTTTGAAAAACATGTTCACACACTTGGTGCAGTGTTCGGACAAGGCCGGGTCCCTCCAGCTCTAACACTGTGATCATCAGCAGACCTACAGGACACAGGGGCGGGGCTTAGACTGGTGGCTCAGAGGCTGATGAGCAGGGAGATGTCAAGGTGCAGGGAAGGCTGCAGAGACAGAGGTGGCCGTGGGCCCAACGAATTGGGATTCTTTTTCTCCATCAGCCAGCTGTTTGTTCAACTCTATGCCTCACAGACCCAGCAGAGGGGGGACAAAGGAAGGCCTGCTAAGCAGGAGGGTAGTGAGCACCATGGTGTGGGCAGTCTCAGTAAGGGTCCGGCTCATGGACCCAAGAGAAGTGGGTTGGGAGGAAACAGAGAAACTGAAGCCCAGGCCAGCTGGGCAGGTGGGCTGCACGTGTGCCCGTGCTCCTGCTCCCCACCACCTGCCCTCCTCACCCGCTCTCCTGGTCTCCGGGACCAGGTTCAGGATGACACCTCCTGGGCAGCCGGCATTCAGTGGGGACTGCAGGCCGAGGAGGACCCCTGGGAGCCCTGCAGAGACCCATTTGTGCTCATCGCCCACCAACAGCTTAGGGCAGAGCTGGAGGCCCGGGAGGAACTACAGCAGCAGGCGCCCAGCTGGGCCAGCAGGCGTTTCTGACTGTGGGGACACCCACCAAGGAGGTGGCCCCTTTCCCGGCGCCCCCAGCCTACTCGGACCCGCCCCGGCCTCCCTGTGCCCTGGCTCCTGGTGCCATGCTAGCCTCCCCTCACAGACTTCCCCTGGCCCACGCCCATCTTGCCTGTGTCGTCCTCGCTGTCCCTGGCCTGTCCCCTCACTCCCCGCCCCTAGGCCCCTGGGTCTAGCCCCACCCCACATGTGCCCACCCCAGGTCCAGGATGGGCTTCGGGCTCTACAGAAGGAGCGTGACCAGGTGTTCCAGGCCTGGGCCCAGGAGCAAGAGAGGCTACAGGCCATGCAGCAGGAACAGCGCCTTCTCAGACAGTGCAGCTACCTGGGGCAGACCCTCTCCGCTCAGGAGGCAGTTCTCCTCAGCCCCCTCTCCAGCCCCTCTTTCTTCCTGGGTTTCTGATGTTTCCTCGAACCTGGGGCACAGAGGGTGTGCTGGCCAGGGTGCGGGGGGCCTCCACCACCTGAGCCTCCGACACTCCACAGGCCGAGTCCTGAGGGCATGGGCTGGAGGCTGGCCATACGGCGTCCTAATGCAGAGGTTGAGGTGCTGCTGGCCCCTACCTGGGCCCCCTGTCCACGCTCAGTGCTCGTGTCAGCCCCACCCCAGGTCCCTTGCTTCTCCCCATGCCCAGAGGCCACGCCTCAGCCCAGACTCACACCGAGAGGGGCTCTGAATTCCTGATCCAGGTATCCCTGGATACGAGCACCCTGGGAAACTCGGTGGAAGAGGTGGAGCAGTTATCCACAAGCATGGGGTCTTCCAGAAGGTGCTGACTGCCCCGGATGAGAAGGTGACAGGCTTGGGGTATTGTGGGCACAGTCAGGGCAGCAGGAGTAGGGAGACTCCTGCATGGGGGCAGGGGTGCTGGGTGCATCCCCAGAGGCTGCACTCTTGGTCGTCCAGGGTGGGGTGGCCACACTGAGGGACCACTAAGGGCACTGAGATCAATCCCTACCTTGTGATCACCAGGGAGCAGCTCAGGTGCTGAGAAAGCTTTTGGGGCCTGTGGCCATGCAGGGCTGGACTTTCCTTGAAGAAAGGACTTTGAGCCCTGGGTGCTGGCCTTGCCCTTGCTCTCCAGGGTGGGTGACCAGGAAGCCACACCCTTGCCCCACAGGTGGCAACTCTGTGTGAGCAGCTGAAGGCATTCCCAGGCCCCAGGGGACAGGACTTGCTTCCTGGCTTGCTGGAGCATCAGGCTCTGGTGAAGGAGCTGGCAGAAAGCCAAGGATGCACCCTGCCCACCTCTCTGCTGACAGCAAGCTTTGCTGGGGCCGCCACCCAGGTCAGAAAGCTGCCCCTGCCCTGTGCTTTCCCCTTAAACCACGTTCTTTGCTCTGAGATCGTTTTCATGCCTGTGAATGAGGAAATCGAGGTTTGGAGGGGTCTGGGGGTGGAGCATCAGACTATTGTCCCCACTGTCATCAGGCTGAGGACTGGGCCCAGGAGCAGGTCCAGCAGAGAGCCAGTCCCTCCTGGAGACCTGCAAGATAATTGGAAGCACTTGCACAAACACTAAGCCATCAAGGCTGAGGTGCAGAACCTCAAGCAGGCCCTGATCTCTGTTGCCAAGGTAATGCCAGGCCTCGGCCATGGCCTGCCCAGAAGTGCAGACTCTAAGATGGCTATGGTCTCAGGCAGGGGAAGGGTGCTGGCAAGCTTCATGTGTCCCTCTCTCCCCTGCAGGGTGAGGCTTTCCTGGCTCAGAGCCACCTTCGGGCAGGAGAGGCCACCCAGAGGCTTCGGGGACTGCAGGGGAGTGGGGAGAAGCTGGGGCAAGGCCCCCTCCAGGGGCAGGAGCTGGAGGACAAGCAGAACTTCCTGGACTTCCTGCAGAAAGCAGGCTTTGCCGAGGCCTGGATCCAGGAGCAGGTGGGGACCAAGGTGGGGTGGGGAAGCGCCTAGGCCAGTGTTCCCTGACCCCCCAGCCTCTACCTGTCGAAACACTGCCTCAGGGGCTGGGTGCTCAGAGTGCTGTCCTCCCTTTCCCTCCCTCAGCCTCTGTGGGCACCTAGATCAGGACCTCGAGCACTGCCAGCAGCTCTGCAGGTGGCTCCCCGAGTTCCGAGGCACCAGTGGGCACGTACCTCCACCGGTAAGTGTGGCTTAGCGTTGTGGAAGTGTGGGCTCTGGGCCCAAGTGTCAGCTCCACACTTACTGCTTGCACTGGTCCAAGAGGCTCCCTTTGTAAGATGTTGATGTTATATGAGAAGCCAGAGGAAGGGTATAGGAACCTTATTGTATTACTTTTGCAATTTCCTACGTATCTATAATTATTTCAAAAAATGTTGAAGATGGCATGTGTGCCTGGATGTGGTAGATAATCAGTGTGTTCCTTCAGTGTGAGGGTTCCAGCATCTCAGCAGCTCCTTCTTACACCATCCCCCAAAAATACACGGACCAGAAACCTGTTTCTCTTATGTGGCATAAAGGAAAGAAATTTGGAAAGTGTATTCACAGCAGGTGTTAGAAACCATCTGCCAATCCTATCCCTGGATATAAGTATGCATTTTTTTTTCAGTTCTTTTATTGGTACATTTTAGGTATGCAATTCGTTTACATTTATCATTGGGTGTTTGTACCTGTACATGATGTATCTTGGTTCTTATTTTTTTCCCCATTACCTGTGTGCCCTTCACCCCCTCCACCCTTCCCTATTTACATAGATTTCGTTTCCTTTTTTTTTCCTTTTCTCATAATTTTTCCTTTCCCTCCTTTCCTTTCCCCTTCCCCTCCCTTCATTCCTTCATCTTTGGACCTTTTCTTCCTATTTCAAATTATCAATTATTCATTTTAATCATTTTACCCCTTGTTTACACTATCAGTTTCTCACACTAGAGAAACTATTTGGTATTTACACACGTGTGTCCTATTTATTTCACTTAAGAGGATGGCCTCGATATGCATCCATTTAGCTATAAATGTGTCTAGTTTCTCATTCTTTATGGCTGAGTAGTACTCCATTTTATAAAAAATCCACATCTTCTTTATCCAGTTTCCAGTTGGTGGGCACTTGGGCTGCTTCCAAGCTTTAGCTATTACAAACTGTGCCACTATGAACATGGGTGCACATATACCACTGTGCATGGTTTTTAAAGGCTGCAGTGTTAGTGGAACTACACAGATTCTGTACCAGATGTTACAGCAGGAAGGAAGCTGGGCTTGAGTCTTGGCCTTGCCACCAGTGAGCCACGCCAGCCTCTGGCACATATGAAAGGAGAGAACCACTGTACCTGCCTGTCTTGGGTGGCACACTTGATGGGAAAGTGCTTCGGAAAGCTTAGCAAAGGGCAAAAGGCCTAGAATCCGCCCCCTCACTGGGGCTCCCCTCCTCATGAACCTCTAAGCTGCCCAGTCCTGAGGATGAGAAACCCAAACCCCAGGAGGCTGAAGCTCCATCATCCTATCCTCCCTTCACTTCTCTCACCCCAACAAGCTGCATTTGAGTTTTAAAGCATCAGTTAGCCAGGCATGGTGGCACATGCCTGTAATCCCAGCACCCTGGGAGGCTGAAGCAAGATCACAAATTCAAGCCTAGTCTGGGCAACTTAGCAACTTAGTGAGACCTGTCTCAAAAAAACAAAATAAAGGCGGGGGGAGTGTGATATAGCTCAGCGAGAAGGCCCTGGATTCAATTTCTGGTCCCCCATCCCCCCAAAAAACCTCTGTCAATGAGCATGTGCCACCCTTGAGGAGCACATTCACTGGCCAGAGAGACTCTGGGGCTGTGGGCTTCACGCTGAACTTGCTCACTGTACCTGAGAGGGGCCCTAGCATTTACCACAGGAAGGAAAGTCATTCCCCTCATCTAACATGCTGTTCCTACCCCTGAGTGGAAGCTGCAGTACTAAGAAGGGGCCCTGGGCAGGTGGCACCAGTGCCCTCACCTGCACCTCCCACAGGACACCATGGGTGAGGCCTATGTCAGAGCATCAGTGACCTATCACTGCAGCTCAAGAACCAGGACCCTGAGGAAGCCAACATCATCTGCCAGACTCAAGCCAGCTCAACACCAGACCTGTCCCAGACTGGGGAGGTAGAGGGGCTGGGAGACAGGCATAGCTACCTCAGATGCCAGGTGTCACCACCACCCTTGCCCAGGTGGGGGAATTTCCAAGGCAACCTGCTCCAGTACCAGTGGCAGCTTGAGGGGACCCTGGAGATCCACACATTGTCCAGAGAGCTGATGACGTTACCAGGCAGCTTGGGGAGAAGGTAAGCAGGGGTCGCCTTATTGTGGAGAGCGGTGTTAGCCATAGAGGCTCCATGTTAAATCTTACCCTCCATTGTATAGAGCAAGGAGACTGTGTGACGAGGAACCGCGTCCTTGCCAAATTAGATGTTTACCTTCGGAGATTGTCCTGGAGCATGATGAACGTTTTGTAAGCCCGAGAAACGGGAAGGCCCATGAGGGTGGGGAATTTCCAAGAACTGGAGAACAAGGAAGCAGGTGTCTTTGATAAGGGTCATGATTAATAACCAAACTCACCTGTGATAAAAAGGGGAGGAGAGTAAAAAAAGCTCGGCGGCAGTCTCTCTGGGGGGCTCCCGACTCTGTCTCTGCGTCTTTCTTTTTCTTCATCCTCACTCCCCCATTCAGGTGCTGTTCAACAAGTGACGCCTGGCTCCGTCACGGGTGGTGCCCGAACAGGGACCTGAATACGGGGGACCATAGTGAAGGACACCGCGGATCGTGAGCTCGGATAAGTAAATTAAGGGCGGTGAATGCACTCGGGAGTAACAAGATGGGTGATTGGTAATAGCCGAATGCTTTTTGAACATATGCTTAAAAATATGCTTCGCGCTCGTGGAGCAAAGATAGGGCATCAACAATTATGTAATTTTTTAGAATTTGTAGAGAAAGTTTGTCCTTGGTTATCTGAAGAAGGCACAGTAGATTTAGAAGAATGGAATAAGGTGGGAAGGCGACTTCAGGACTATTACGATGTTCAGGGACCCACTAAAGTCCCTATAGATGCTTTTAGTTTATGGGCTTTAATTAGAGATAGTTTGGATCCTCGGCATGAGGGAGAGAGGGTTGAAGGACCCTCCTCAAGTCTTTCCTCGGAGGAGCCTGACAAGGCTGGTGTTCCCTAGGTTGTCCCTCCGCCTCCTATAGAAAGTGGAACTAAGCCATCTGCTCCGCCAGTATATGCTGATGCAGAGCCTGCACTAAGGAAGGGCTTTTTTTGGATGAGGGACCCCTAAACCCGGGAGATGCTGATGATTTGGAAGAAGAGGCTGCTAGGTATAACAAGGAGGACTGCCCCCCCCATCGTAGCCGTGGCCAGGAAAACCGAAAAATCCATACAGCCAGTGAATGAGGACGTGACCGAAAGGATTACTAGATTGGAAAAGAGATTGGAGTCTCTTTGTCAGCAGTGGCAGACAGGCTTAACGGTGGAAGAGGAAGACCAGAAGACTCAGGGCGAGGGAGGAATAGTTCCTAGTATAATTGCTGGTCTTGATCCCCCACCGGTTGCAGCTCCAAGATTAATGAAAAAAACGGACCCTCTTATAGCCATGATCAAACATCCCCCAGGACCCAGGCCTTTGTCTGTCAATTCTCGGTCTCTGTCGCCATTATAAGCTACCCTGCAACATGTGGTTGACAGAGGGGAAGATACCCAGGGCTTTCATTTAGCTTGTCCAGTATTTGAGGAAGCTGACGCTCAAGGGAATATGGTCAGAATCCATCGGCCAATATCTTTTAAGCAACTCAAAGAGTTAAAAATGGCCTGTGCGCAATATGGCCCCACCGCACCTTTTACTCAGGCTATGTTAGAATCGTTGCGCATGGAGGCGCTGCCTCCCGGAGATTGGAAACAGCTTGCTAAGGCATGCCTGTCTGGGGGAGATTACCTCCTTTGGAAAACAGAATTTTCCGAGCAGTGTCAACAGCTGAATTAAATCGGGCTAATAGAAATGATATTGATTATGACATGCTGGCAGGAGAAGGGCAATATGCGGACCTCGCCAATCAATTATTGTTTCCTGCAGGAGTATATCCACAGGTCAATACCGCTGGCCAAGCGGGCATGGCAGAAGCTGCCTTGTACAGGTAGGCAGACAGAAGATTTATCCAAAATTAGGCAGGGACCTGATGAGCCTTTTCAAGACTTTGTAGCCAGGTTAATGCAGACTGCTAGTAGATTGCTGGGAGATTCTGATGCGGGATTGTTACTGGTCAAACAACTGGCTTATGAAAATGCCAATACCGCCTGTCAGGCAGCCCTAAGACCATTTCAGACTATATTAGAATGTGTGCTGACATTGGGCCTGCTTATACTCAGGGCCTTGCCATGGCAGCAGCTTTGCAAGGAAAAACAGTTAAAGAAGTGTTGTTCTAACAACAAAAGAGAAATCCCAAAGGTAGGGTTCCGGGTCCGCCAGGGAGTTGTTTTAGATGTGGTCAAATAGGCCATCAGGTGTGGCAATGTCCCAATAAGACTCCTCCAGCCAATTCAAACGATGCAGGGAAAGAAAATGGGCCTAGACTGTGTCCCAGATGCAAAAGAGGCAATCATTGGGCTAATGAGTGTAAATCTAAAAAGGATGCCATGGGAAATATTCTCCCGCAGGGAAACGGGAGGAGGGGCCCGCCCCAGGCCCTGCAACAATGTTATGGGGCACTTCAAACATTCATTCCCCAGCAAGGAAATCCGTTCAGGACCTTTTCAGAGCAACCGCAGGCAGCACAGGACTGGACCTCAGCCCCTCCACCTTCACAGTATTAACCCCGGAAACGGGGATGCAGGCCCTACCTACCAGAGTTTATGGGCCCTTACCATCAGGGATGATGGGATTGCTTTTAGGTCGAAGTAGCACTACTAAGAATGGTATTTTGGTTGTTCCTGGGGTCATAGATGGGGATTTCACTGGAGAAATTAAAATCATGACTCATTCACCTACTGGGATTTCTGTGATATAAGCGGAACAACGTATAGCGCAGCTGTTGTTGCTCCCTCAAATACTAACAAAGCAGCAAAAAGAGAAAAAAGAGGAGATGTTGGATTCGACTCTTCAGATGTTTATTGGGTACGGTCTATAGGAGCCCAACGACCTGAGCTCACCCTGACCATTGGTGGGAGAAATTTTCAGGGTCTCCTGGACACTGGGGCTGACGTCTCAGTTCTAACTGCAGACCAATGGCCTAGGGCGTGGCCTAAACAATCAACAATGACACAAGGAATAGGTCAAAGCCAAAGCACTGAACAAAGTAGTGATATGTTATTTTGGAAAGATGCCGAGGGTCATCAGGGTAGATTCCAGCCGTACATCGTGCCGGGGCTGCCGGTCAGTCTGTGGGGCCGAGATGTTATGAAAAAAATGAGGGTGTATTTATATAGTCCTAGTGAACAGGTCACCCACCGAATGTTTGAACAAGGGCTTTTACCTAATCAAGGCTTGAGAACTAAAGGTCAGGGGATACAGGAGCCTTTAATGCCGATCCAACGACCTCCAAAAACAGGCTTAGGGTGTTTTTAAAGGAGGCCACTGATCAACCTGTACTCCATGCGGATCCCATTACTTGGAAAAGTGAGGAACCTGTGTGGGTGGATCGGTGGCCTCTCACCGAGGAAAAAATTACAGCTGCTGAGCAGTTAGTACAGGAACAGCTCGATAGCGGACATGTAGCTCCTTCTAATTCTCCTTGGAACTCTCCTATCTTTGTCATTAAGAAAAAATCGGGGAAATGGAGATTATTACAAGATCTTAGAAAAGTCAATCAGACCATGGAAGTAATGGGAGCCTTGCAACCAGGATTGCCTATGCCATCAGCTTTGCCTAGAAATACTTATAAAATCATTGTAGATTTAAAGGATTGTTTTTATACTATTCCACTTGCTCCTGAAGATTGTAAGCGATTTGCTTTTAGCGTACCCTCAACAAATTTTAAGGAGCCTATGAAGAGATATCATTGGAAAGTATTGCCTCAGGGTATGGCTAATAGTCCTACTTTGTGTCAGAAATTTGTAGCTCAGGCAGTAAATAAAATTAGGCAAATATATCCCCAAATCTATATTGTTCATTATATGGATGATATGCTTTTAGCTCATGGACAAGAAGGCCTCTTATTAACAGCCTATGCTCATTTACAACAAGCTTTGAGGGATCAAGGATTAGTGATTGCACCGGAAAAGGTTCAGACTGAGCCGCCATATTCCTATTTAGGACATAAGTTATATCCCAAATCTATATTACCTCAGAAGGTTCAAATTAGGAAAGACAATTTACACACTTTGAATGATTTTCAGAAATTGTTAGGAGATATTAATTGGCTTAGACCATATTTAAAAATCTCCACCAGAGAATTGAAACCTTTATTCGATATCCTCTGGGGAGATTCTGATCGTACATCTGTTAGAAAATTAACTGAAGAAGGTCAGATGGTCTTGTGTGAGGTAGAACAAGCTATAGAACGACAGCAAGTTCAATATATAGGTTATGCTCGAGGATGGGCTGCCTATGTTCTGGCGACAGCACATGCTCCCACTGCCGTTTTATGGCAAGAGGGTCCTTTGCTTTGGTTGCATTTGCCTGTTTCTCCAGCCAGAGTGTTAACTCCCTATTATGAATCTGTGGCGTGCCTAGTTCATATGGTGCGGGAAGAATCTCGAAAATATTTTGGAGCAGAGCCTTCCTTAATTGGAGTCCCGTTTACCAAACAACAGCTAGATTGGCTATTCCAAAATGTGGACCTGTGGGCCATTGCTTTTGCACATTACCCTGGATGTACAGATAACCATATCCCCAAGGATAAATTATTGCAATTTGTTAATATTCATGCTTTAGTGTTTCCCAAGATTATGAAACAGGAACCCATAAAAAATGCTCAAGTGGTTTTCACTGATGGGTCTTCCAATGGTACTGCAGCATATGTTATTCAGGGAAAGCCACAGATTGTTCATACAGCCCCTGCCTCTGCTCAGATTGTTGAGCTTCGCGCCGTCGCCACGGTATTTGAAGTTTTGGCCCATTATTCTTTTAATTTGTATACAGATAGTCATTGTATTGTTAAAGCTTTACAGGTGCTTAAAACAGTTGCTTATATTGATGCTGCCAATAATCAAATACAGGAGCTCTTTGCTCAGATACAACGGCGCATACATGCCCGGACCTGTCCTTGTTATGTGGGTCACATTAGGGCTCATTCTGGGCTTCCCGGACCCCTGGCAAAGGGAAATGATCTTGCGGATCAGGATACACGGCTAGTAGCTTTCAGTCAATTGGAATTAGCTCAGCAGTCTCACACTCTACATCATCAAAATAGCCACAGCTTAAGGAAGCAATTCCATATAACTCGAGAAGCTGCTCGACAAATAGTTAAGCAATATTCTGCCTGTCCTATACATCATTCTGTCCCTCATTATGGGGTAAATCCCCGCGGCCTTAAACCTAATCAGTTATGGCAAATGGATGTTACCCATATTGCTGAATATGGAAAACAGAAATATATACATGTAAGTATTGATACCTTTTTGGGATTTATTATGGCCACCGCCCAAACTAGAGAAGCTACAAAGCATGTGATAGCCCATGATTTAACATGCTTTGCCACAACTGGGGTCCCTGTCGTTCTTAAAACTGATAATGGCACGGGATATACTAGTAAAGCTTTTCAAATCTTTTGTAAACAGATGGGTATCGCCCATAAGACAGGTATTCCTTATAACCCACAAGGCCAAGGGATTGTGGAAAGAGCCCATGGTGCTCTAAAAAATCAATTGCAAAAAATAAAAAAGGGGGAGTTATACCCTTTATCCCCACAGAATTATTTACATCATGCTCTCTTCATCCTGAACTTTCTGATTGTGGATGCTTATGGATTGACTGCAGCAGAACGGCCGTGGCATCCTAAAACTAAATCATCATATGCTCAAGTGAGGTAGAAAGATACCCTCACGGGTGTATGGAGTGGCCCCGGCCCGGTATTGATATGGGGACGAGGGCATGTTTGTGTTTTCCCGCAGGACGCTGAAGGTGCCAGGTGGCTTCCTGAAAGATTGGTCCGTTTTGCGGGAAATTCTCCTGCCCCTTAGGATGATCCTGACAACTGTCCTGCTGATAAATCTAATGGTGATGCTTAATGAGAAGGTTTATTGGGCTTATGTACCTGATCCACCTGTTGTACATCCAACGAGCTGAAAAAATGGAGAAGTAATGGTATGGGTGAACAATACCAGGCTGTTGGATGACCCGGTGGCACCTGACAAGAATGAGGTCCGATTGTTCAACTACACGGGATCAGAAACCGGAACCCCCATATGTTTCTTCAAAATCAACAGAACTGATTGTATAAGACTGAGCGCTCGCACCCTGGCAGGAAGGCAGGTAGATCAGTGCAAAGGCGGGATCACTGGAGTCCATCTACATCTACCTGTGGGTATAGAGGCCACTGGTGTAGTGCCTCCAACTTTTAATGCTCCAGTGGGACTGTTCCGTAGAAGAGATGTGTGGCAGATGCCCCTGTGAGATATAATATTACTGGACTTGATACTTATGTTTTGGACTGGTCTGAAAATTCTTGTCATCCCAAAAGAAATGTCACTGCATATGTCATGTGCTCTTAGGTATTGCTTGTAGGAAATATTAGTGTTCAGAAAGATTATGATTATTATAATGTAATTTACTTCAATTGTCAAATAAGCAATTGTGTCACCCGAACAGAAAATCAGACAATGGTTTTGCAAATGTGTTCTTAGATTTGGATATTATAGATCTCCAAAATGCAGAACCCCTAAAATTTGATGCAGCCCAGGCTGCACAGGATTTTATCGAACAAATTAGAAAAGTTCTGCCATCTACATCTGCACTTACGCGGTAACTCATTTCCATAGTAATTATTGGAGGAGGGCTGCCTCTTAGATGCATGATCCGGTGCTACTACAGATGTTTATGCATTCTTTAATGAGGATGGCTGGAAGTATTCATGGTCTACAATTACATGCTACACCACCTAAACCCATGGTGTAATTCCCTGCAGAGGCTGGTAGTCAATGACGGGTAAGAGGAATACAGGAAATCACCAACCTAAGACAGAGCAAGAGTACGGTGACGCTCTTGACTCCATGACGGGTAAGGGATTTCTTTATATTCCTCACCTGAGACAGGCACAGCCTATCTGCGTGATCAAGGGACCTTGATCATAATATATAAAACGGGGAGATGTGGAGAGCAGTGTTAGCCATAGAGGCTCCGTGTTAAATCTTACCCTCCATTGTATAGAGCAAGGAGGCTATGTTCCGAGGAACCGCGTCCTTGTCCAATTAGATGTTTACCTTCAGAAATTATCCTGGAACGTGACGAACATTTTGTAAACCTGAGAAACAAGAAAGCCCATGAGGGTGGGGAATTTCCAAAGAACTAGAGAACAAGGAAGCAGGTGTCTTTGATAAGGGTCATGATTAATAACCAAACTCACCTGTGAAAAAAAGGGGCGGAGAATAAAAAAGCTCGGCGGCAGTCTCTCTGGGGGGCTCCCGACTCTGTCTCTGCATCTTTCTTCATCCTCCCCCATTCAGGTGCTGTTCGACAAGTGACGGCTGGCTCCGTCACCTTATGCACTGTGAGCAGGGGAGCAGGCACCGCGCTTCATGTGCCAGTCAGTCCTGTCTGGGTCCCCTCTAGGCCCCCACTATCCACCAGGCCCTGGCTGCCCTGGACCAGGAGCTGAGCAGCCTGCAAGGGGCCTGGCAGGAGTACCAGGTGCAGTTGCAGCAAGCAATGGAGCTACAGGTTGGTCCCAACCCCGGACCCCACCCGGCCCCACCTTTGGGGCCTGTGCAACCTGAGTAGCCCCAGGCCAAGCCAAAGCCAGAGGCTGCCGTGCCGAGGCTTCTCACCCCCACCACAGATAAGGCCTGCTGTAGACTTCTGCGGTGGAGCCAGGCCCCTGGGTTTGTGGTGACTGGCTCCTCTGCTGACTTTCCTCTCACCTCCTCTCTTCTCACCAGCTGTTCCTGAGCTCTGTGGAGAGGGCAGAACTTGAGCTCTGCAGTGAGGAAGCCTCCCTGGCCAGCGAGGGGTTGCGGGTAGGTGTCCGTCAGGAGCAGGGGGTGCACAAGGCAGCCTGAGAGGTAAAATCACGACTGGCAGGACTGCCCGAGCCTGGCAGACCAGGATTCCCCACTCCAGCAGAGCTGTCCCCAAGCAGTTCCTTCCCCGATGGTCCTGAGTGCCTCTCAGGGGCCGGGGTAGCTTCTCTTCATACCCACTGACATACCCACCCCACAACAGATGAGTGTGGCCCTTGGAGACTCAGTAAATACTTAGGGGTCCGTGTCATCCCACTGGCTCCAGAGAAGAGGGTGGAAAAGCCCTTCCTGCCCTGGAGCCTGGCCCGACCCTCACCCACACCATCCCCCGGCCGGGAATTGCTGTCCAGAAGCAGCCTCAAGGGGCTTGAGGGTGACTTTGGGTGGGACACAGCTCTGTGGAGGAGGCTGAGCAGGATGGCTGGACACTCAGACTCCTGCAGGAACCCTTGGCCGAGGTGAGGAGCTCCTGGGGAAGCACAAGGGGCTTGAGAGGTGCCTGGAAGCACAGGTGGAAAAAACTCAGGGCACTGGAGGCCACAGCCCGCAGCCTGTACCGGGGCAGACACACTGAGGCCCAGAAGGCCCTGGCCAGGTGCCAGGCCGTGCTCCTGAGGTGCCCATGGCTCCTGGGTGGTGAGTGGGCCTCCCGACTCTCCCATCCTGCCCTTCTACCTCCTGGTCCAGGCTTACTAGCCTCTCCCAAACACAGAGGTTGGATACCAGGGTCCCCCTACAACACAGGGAAACTCACTTCCTTAAAGGGGAGTTTGACGAAGAATCACACAGTAGGAAAATAAGAGGAAATCTGAGCTGATGGATCAGAAGAAGGCAGGAGAGCACAGTGGTTAGTGTAGGCCCTCCAGGGTCAGGACATCCTGCATTCTCCACTGCCCACTAATGGCGGAACCTGAAGCAGACTCCTCCCTGGCTTGGCTAAGACTCTAAGCTACAGAGAGGGGCTAACAACAGCATCTGAGGCCTGCAGCATCTCAGCCAGTTCCTGGCCACAGGGTAGACTACAGACCTCTGCCGCTCCTTTAACTGAGGCTTGGCTACAGACCTGCCAGGCTTGTGACACCAGGAGCCACCTTTCCCCACCTGAAGCTCATCTGCCTCTGCTGCACCTCTAGCTTTTAGATCCAGGCAGACACAGCCAGGAGCCAGATCTCAGACTGGCAGGGGCCATCCTTGCAGAGTGCCTGCCAGCACTCACAGGTGGTGTGGCTCCCTGTGCTGGTGCCCTGGCAGGGGCTGGGCCACCCTGTCCATCCTTGCAGGTGGCCCTCACTTGAGTACTCAGGGGTCTTTGAGTAGACAAACGGCAAAAGTGGTTCCTGCCAGCCTCTGGATCCTGGCTCCACTCCCAAGACTATCTTTCTAGAATCCCAGAGAGACCACTTCCTCAGTGTTTGAGCACATCCTGCCACCAGCTGGGAGGCTGAACACACTGGGGCCCTGCCTGCCTTTGAATGCTCTGCTCTGCTGACATCTATCTGCCCATCCATTTGGGAAAGGCCGGGTGCAGGCAGGCTCTTCCCCAGGGCTGGCTGCGTGGTTATGTTGTAGTGTCCAGGCCAGGGCAACTCTCCTCTCCCGCTGCTCTCCCAGGATCAGAGCGCAGAACCCAGGGGAAGCATCTTGGGCGTTGAGTGTGGCCACCCTGCTCAGGTAGGACACCCAGGCCGGACTCCTGCACTCCCCGATACATGGCTATTCTCTTCAGCCCAGAGTCCTGGGACTCAGCTTGCCCCGTAGGGCTGTGGGGAAATCCCCATCTTGGAGACCCTTGGGAAGCAGGGAGCCCTAAGATCCGCTGGTTTTGGGTGCAAAGCCAGGCCACAAGGCTCCCTTTCCCCGAGACTCAAGGGCTGCCCCCTCCCAGGGGCTCACGCCATCTCAGCCCTGCCCTCTGCAATGGGAGGCTCTGAGTGATAGCCCCAGGCCTTTTCTGCTCCCGCCAGCCTCAAGTCGTTGGCTTCCCCTTGGGCATTGCTGGGGAACTTGGCTGGCCTTCTCTGCCTAGGTCCCATGCCATCCTCACTTTCTGGGCCCCCTTCTCTCTTCCCTCTCCAGGACAGAATTTGCAGGACAGCCCAGCCTCCTGCCATTTTCCCCCTGCTCCCCGACTGCAGGTTGTAGGGGGTACATGTCCCAAGGCTTGGAGCGCTCGCAGGCTGAAGCAAAGAAACAGGGTTCTTTCCAGGGTCCTCAGCCTCCTGTAGATCCTGACATCACCTCCCTCCGCTTCCCCTGCATGCAATGGGGCTTCAGACTGTGCAGAGAAGGGGCACCCGGTACTGGAGGTAGGCGAGGCATGCTCACACCCTCCAGGCAGGAGCCCAGATGTCATGGCCTGGCTGTCACCTACTGGGCAGCAGCCAGGGACGGCTGTCTCTCTGCCACAGTCACCCATTCATTCCTACCAGGCCCACAGGGCCCAGCTTAGGATTCAAGTGACACGTGGTAAAGGAAGAGGCCTTGTCCTAGGCAAGTAGCCTCTAGGGTACCAGGATAGCCATTTCTGCTGCCCTGAGACCCCTACACGGCCAGCAAGATGCAGCAAGCTGGGTCATGAAAATCAAGGAAACTGTCTCCCGTTCACCCCACAACTGTGGTCGTCCTGTGGCTGCCTGCCAGCTCCTAGCTCTCCCCACACTTTGGCTGAGTGGGGTCTCCGGGGGAGGGTGCCCAGCCCTGACTGAAGGCCTCCCTGTTCCCTCAGCAGGCCAGACCTTGAAACGACCCTCAAGGCCACACCAAAGCTCGGAAACGAAAGGCAAGACTCACTGTAGGGGACCAGTTGACAGCTACAGGTACAAGGGCTGTCAGATGGGCCCCGCCATGTCAACAGCCTGCTAGCGAGGCCACTGTCACTGATGTTTAGTTCATCCAATCACAAGGCTGGCTGTCCTTTCCATGAGACAGAAGCAGCCTTCTGACCAGCTGAGCCAGACAGGGCAGGGTCACAGTAGGTGACCAAGCAGATGCCCTGCTCTCTGATGGACTTGCCATGTCAGGTGCCCAGGGAGATGGATTGCTTTGCTTTTTAACCAAGAGCCTGGAATAACAGACAACCTTGGACAGTGCCTCCCATTTGCAAGTGCGTTTATAATGTAAAGTGCTCTGTTTCACTCTGTACACATGGCCACTTTATCCTCATGACCCCCCGATGCCTTCACAAGGCCTCTGAGCACTGCTTGTCCGGGGAAGGCAGCTCCAGTCCACTCCATGGGGTCCTTGGCTCTGGTCGCAGCCATGAAGAGCTAGGCCGCTCACTCCCAGCCTCCTGCAGGGCCTCAGCCTGGACCCTGTGCCAGGGTTGCTGGTGGCCACCTCTAGATAGCTCTCTGGACATCAAAGCCTCCAGTGGTTCCAGGACGCATGATGTCCCAGTCCAGACTCGGAACCACATGGAAAAGGGCAGCTGAGGCCCAGCCCGGGCTCTCACTGGGGCCTCCGCAGCTGCCGCCGCTGCACAGCCTGGCGCAGGGCCTCCAGCAGCTGCTGCCGGTTGTTGCAGATGTTGTAATGCGTCAGGTGCAGTAGCCTGTCTGTGTCCTCAGGACTGTAGGTCACCTTGGAGTAGTGGTATGGGGAGCTGGTAGAAGACAGTTCCACCTCCCCAGCCGCCTGCTCCTCAGGTGTCCGCTGCACCCCTGCAGAGAGAAACAGCCTGGGTAAGGGGGGACTGCACTGGGGAAGGGGTCTGGGCCACCACAGAGAGGTAGGGGTAGAAATGGGGTGGTGGCGGCAGCCATGGCTCACCAGGGGCCGAGTGCTCCCGGAAGGAGTTGTTGACCAGAGGGAAGTGGAGCACGGCAGGGGCTTCAGGCTGGGTAGGGTCGCAGAAGGTGTGGCACTCCTGAGGGTGGCTCTGCTCCTCCAGGCTGGGTGAAATGGGAGGGAACGGAATCCCCTGCTCCTGGCAGAAGCGGCCCAGGAGCTGTAGCTGCTGCAGGGCCGGCAGAGGGGGCATTAGCAGGAGGCCCAGGGCACGAGGACCAGACTGGAGACCCACAAAGACACACAGGGCCTAGTGCTTGCAGGACGAGGTGGAGATTGCAGTGGACCCCATGGGCAGGCCCACATGACAAAGGCTGGGACCTGACAGTGCTTCCCATGTGGCCCTCAGCCTGGGAAAGTTGCGGGGGGTGTGTGTGTGTGTGCAAAGGCCTCTCCCTGGAGCAACACGGAAACCCAGCAGCAGGACCCACAGGGCTCAGGCACGGCAAAGAGGAGCCCAGCCCAAAACGCAGATGAAGACCTCCCCAGCTGCTCAGCACCACAGCTCCTGAGCCAGGGAAGGTCCCCCAGTCGGAAGTCACAGGATTCAGCACTCCATTCTACACAGTGTCACTGTCACACAACCTAAGGAAAGCTGCACCGAACACCAATGGGCCAAGGAGAGGCCGAGGCTGCCCACCACCTCCCATGCCTGCCCCAAGCCCCAGGTCCCATCTGTCCTGCAGGAGCTCCTCTGTGCCCTCCTGACCTGGAAGGCTCCCTGGAGGTTGTAGTCCAGCGACAGGATGAGGTCCACATCCCGGGTGGGCTGCAGGAGGGGCAGGCAGCTGGTGTTGATGAGGTAGCCGACGTCCAGCAGGCAAAGGTGAGGCTCCATGGGTGTCAGCTGGTTGGGGCGCCCATCCAGTTTGGTAGCTGCAAAGGTTTGGGGATGGAGTCAGGGAAGCAGCAATTGTCATGACGCTGCAGAACACACGCCGAGACCCACTCTTCTGCGGGAAGGAGACTCCTCCCCCCGCCCTGCTCTACTGCACCCCATGCGCTGCAGGGCCAGCACAGACAGAGAGCCAAGGCCTCGAAGAGCATGGTGCCTGCAAAGGGAGGGACGCTGCAGAGCGAGGACTGAGGCAGAGAGGCCGAGACCTTTCCAGGCAGAGAAGTGGGGATGGTGGAAGTAGTCCTTGTGGAAATGCAGGCCACGGAGAAAGTTGTGGGTCGCCTGGACAAGTGGGCGCCTGCTGAGAAGGCTGCTGAAGAACTCGGCGATCTGGCCAGCTGCCGGGGGCGGCTCTTCCGTCTTTGAATGGGGAACCTGCTCCTTGTCTGCACAGGAAAGAGAGTGTTGGGGAAATGGCATCCACGGGCCCTTACCCTCTGTGGTGACCCTGGAGGGGAACAGTTGAGGCCCCTTGAGCCACTGCCCTCAGTGGGGTGGCCAAGCACTTACCCAGGTTGGCCCGGTCCTGGGCCCAGCGGTCCCAGAACTGGGTAGGGTCTGAGGACCAGTACAAGCTGTCCCGGAGACTGGCTGCGTACAGGTTGCTCCAGATACCTGAGGGAGGCCGTGAGAAGTGTCCCCGCCCCCTCACCTGACCGCTGCAGGTGGCCCAGGCCAGCCCAGGCCTCTCTCAGTGGCTGAGCCACACAGGCCAAGGGCACCTTCACCTCCCCACTCCAGCCTGCTCGCCAGCCTCCCAGGCACCCTCACCTTCCAGGAAGCAGATGCGGGATTCCGGGAGCCGTTTCACCAGCCGGCCCATGAAGAACTCGGAGCCGAAAAGCTCAGCGGGGATGAAGGCCCCGTACTTGGGGAGGCCAACCTCGTAGGGGGAGAACTCGACCCACTCTGTGAGGAGAGCACACGTCTCAGCCTGGGCTGCCCACAAAGCCACAGCAAGCCTTGCTTGGGCAGCCCTGGGAGCAGGAGGCCCAGACCCCCTTGCTGGGACTTGAAGCACGGAGCCTAATGCCCTTGCCTTTGTCCCAAAGGCCTGAGGAGCCCTCAGTCTTGGGAGCTGGCCCAGGAGAGGTGGGTATGAGATTGGCCTCCCCTCACCCCACAAGAGCAAGCATCTGCCTTCTGGGGCCACTCGCCTCCAAACTCAAAGGTGGTCAGGCTCTGCTCCTTGGTGTTGAGGGCACAGTAGATGGGCAGAGGGTTCTGGCCACGAGTCAGGGCCCCCCGCTGGTCTGAGAGCCTGTGGTTGTGGGGCTGAGGGAAGAGTATCAGAAACCCAGCGTGCAGCTTCCTGGTGTCTGAGCCTTTGCCACCCACCCCCTGGGATGGGACAGGCCCCACGCACACACCTCATCATGCAGCAGTGCCTCATTGACGAGGGCCCACAGATCGGTGAAGCAGGTGGGGTGGCCTAGGCGGGTGCGCTCAGCCAGCTCCTGCTGGTACTGCCACAGTTTGCTAGGAGCCAGCACGCCCAGCTTGCTCTTGGTCACCTGTGTCTTCAGCAACTCGGTGGGCCCTGCCAGGTCCTTCTGAGACCACTCTGGGTCCTCGTAGAGGTTGGCCAAGGCCCTGGGAACAGCCAAAGCAAGGGCAGGGGCCTTGTCACAAAAGAGCGCATTTGGGCTTCACCTGTTAGGCTTTCTCTTTTGGGCCAAGAGGCAACTCTGGCGGCAGCACCTGCAAGGGTCCTCTGGGGCTTCTTCCTCATCAAGTCTGTTGCCCAGCCCTCCTGGTTTGTTCGAGGCCCGTGGGGTTCAGGTGCCTTATCACCCATGCTCCCTCCCACCCAGACCCAGCAACCACCCAGTGGCTCCAGTACTGAACCTGCCACCATCTCACCAGGTGGAGCCTGAGGCCCCTGTGATGTAGGAGACACAGTCCAGGAGGCCCAGCTCCTTCAGACCAGCCAGCTGTCCGTACAGGGATGTCATTGCCCGGCTCCCACCGCCTGTGGCCATAATGGCTACTACTGGGACCTGGAAAAGAGGGCAGCCCGGCTCAGGCACCCAAGGGATGGGGAGGGCCATGCCCCTCAAAAAGGAGATGGTATTCAACTGCCATGCAGCTCCCCCCAGATGCGATCCCCCTTCTCCCTCCTCCACTCCAGATTTCATCAGGGCCTGGGACCAGCACTGAGTCAGTCGTGCTAGGAGGACCTGGCCGGGAACAGCCTCCTGAGGGCCAGGCTTCTCTAGGCACAAGGGCCCCAGGACAAAAGGCACTTGCCCCCACCCCAAAGGCCTGAAGAACTCTGGTAGGGTCAGTGTCTGGGACCTGGCCCAGGACGGGTGGGTGTGAGATCCGCCTCCCACACAGCCTGGTTACCTTCACATCGTAGGAGTGGAGGTCCTACTCTGACAAGCAGGCCTTAGCACTTCCAGGCCTGCCCCAGGGAGTCTAGAGCCACTTCAAGCATCTTGATAGCCCTATCCCTGCCTGCACTGAACTCCTCCCCTGACAGGTGGCCCAAGCTGACCATGGGACCTCCTGGGACCCCAGGCCAAGAGACTGTTCTCAACCAGAGGTCTGCCTCACACACCAGTCACACTGGGCCCAGTCCCAAACCTGGGCCAGGGTGAGGACCAGGAAACACAGGTATGAAAGCTGGGCCATGAGGGGCGCTCCCTTGTGTGAGCTCTAGATGCCTTGTACAGCTCTCCACACGAGCAATCCCAGCAACATCACTGACAGGAAGTGGAGCCACCTGGCAGTGGGAGGCAGCCATCACCTCAAACTGGCACTGGCTCTGGGCCACTTGTAGAACAGCCAGTTCCAGCGTTTAGCCCTGGGCCCATGCAAACCCAGAGTGACCTTACCCAGCCCTGCCCAGACCCGACCCAGGCCCCAGACCTCATCCTCCTGCAGGTCTCTGTCCAGCTGCAGGGCCTGCTTCAGGGCCTTGGCCACCACCTGTTTCCTCCTGCTCAGGAAGGCCTGCTCCTTGGTGCAGGGCCCACTGCCCAGCCGCACAGTCAGCTCCCTTGGGCTGGGGGATGAGAAGCACCTTGGACACTGCCCCTGGTGCCCCCAGAGATCAGGGAGCTGAGTCTGCCTCCCTGCCAGCTGCTGCCCGCTCCCCTCCTCTCCCTTGCCCTGCGACTTTGCTGTGTGACGCCTGAGAAGCGTGAGGGGAAAGGAAGCCCGGCCCATAGTCCACAGCAGGGGAAACGGCAAAGTAGACCCTCTGGGCCTCGGAATGTGGGGATGGAAGAAGCCATGCTGGTGCCTGGCACAGGGACCTGACACTGCGAATCACACCTTAGTCTCTTTCTTGCCCACCAACTTTAGAAACCATGACAGAGAAACCAGGACAGGTGGCCCCTTCTCCGTGTGGGGAGAAGCTGCTCTCCCAAGACAGGGAGGACTAGCGGGTGGCCCCTCTTAGAAGGGCACTCACGGTCCATCTATACTGCCTCTCCCCAGGAGGACACAGCTCCCCTTCCCCTTGCCATTTGTGCCCCAAGGCTGGTCCTGTTCTCATCTCCCCCGTTTATACAGCCAAGCATTTACCCAGGGCTTCCCAACTGCTGGGCGCTAGGCTGAGCCCACTGCTCTGACTAGAGTAGAAATGCCCAGTGCCAACGCTAAGAAAAGGACCTGCTCCACCTGTGAGCCAAGCCCTGCAGCCCCGGAGGGTAACTCGCCAGGACCCGGGCCAGCCGCCTGCCCCAGTCCTGCCTGGCTGCCTCCCCATGGCATCCCTGTCTCCCTGCCAGGCCTCTTACCCTTCTTCTTTCTTCAGTTCCACCCTCAGCATGGGTTCCTGGAACCATAAATGCTGCCGTCACAAAGGGTGGCTGCCTCCAGCTAACTCTGGTCCTCCCACCTAGTCCCTGTGCACCCTGACCTGGCCTCTTACAGCCCAGATTTCCAGACAGCTCCCCAGGGCCTCCCCTCCGGCCAAGGCCTTCAAGGCCAGGGACAGCCCTGTCTGTGCAACCAGCTGTCCTCCTCTAGACACCAGTACCTGGGATGTGGGGAAGACCAGCCTCACCAGCTGGCCAGAAGGCAGGGCCTGCAGCGGCACCTTTAGTTGCTCTTGGGGGTCATCCTGCAGGGGGACAAAGAGTGAACACCCAGGAGTCTTCACCCTTCTTCTCTTAGCAAGGACCCCACCAGTTCCTCCCGGCAGTGAGAGGGGAGCCACAGGGAGAGGAGCAGGGCCAGCACCCCCACCCCACCCAGGACAGTGGCCCGGGGTGACCAGAGGCCAGGCGGAGGAGGTAGAGGGAAGAGGATGTGAAGCCTGGCTCCCCAGGGCAGGCACATTACCTTCAGGTGAATATTCAGCTCTTGCTCCCAGGAGCCCAGGCAGTGGAAGCAGAAAGAGCCAGTGCCCACAGAGGCCTCCTGTGGACCCTCACAGGCCCCCGGGACCACAAGCTGAACTTTGCTTTCTGACCCTAGAAACAAGAACCAAAGCAGAGGCCAGGACTGCATCTCTGCCCAGGGTCCCTCACTGAGCTAGAAGGTCCTTTCTTCTCCTCTCTCCCTCGGAAATGAAGCTCCAGCCCTTACAGGCCCCACCACAGCCCCTGCAGACACGAGGGGAAGGAAGCCCAGGTCCTGCATGAACTTACCCCCAACCCACACTCCTGCCCATGGGAAAAGAAGGCAGCTAGTGCAAGGTCCCTTCCGCGTCCCCTCAGGAAGGAGGAGGACAAGGAATGAGCAGAGGGCTGTTGCAGTAGGGATGGACTCACCTTCCCGGTGCCCCATTTCTTCCAGCTGAATGTGCACGCGGGAGAGCTCCCGGGCCTGGGTTGGGAAGAGCCCCTCAGACACCAGTGCACCCCCCTGCACCCTGTCCCCACCCCTGGCCTGAGTCACCAAGCACTGCTGGGCTGGTTCTCCTCTGAGGAGCAGCCACTCGGGACCCCAGCCCCCAGAGGGCCGCTCCTGACTCACCACCAGGATGCCATTGCTAACCAGATGCTCTGCACAGTCTGTCCTGGAAAGAGCCCCAGTGACCCCAGTAAGGGCCCAGGTCCTCCCCCAGCCCCCAGCCCAAAGCCTGGACCCTCCTCCTCCACCAGGGAGGGCACCCAAACTAAGGACCCCACTCCTGCCCAGACTCACAGGCTCTGCAGTCGAAATTCCACTTCCAGACGCATCTCACCCTGGAGAGAAAGAGGAGTTAGTCAGTGGAAAGGACTGTGTGCGTGTGCATGTGTGCATGTGTGCATTCCAACCCAGACCCTAGCTGGGGCTGTGAGGCTGCAGTGGCCAGGAGGGCCACTCTCCCTCTTCAGGTTGCTGTCCACATTCCTTGAGCTGCTCCGAGGAAGCTCTCTTCTGGCACACCTATAATCCCAGCACTCAGGAGGTTGAGGCAAGAGGACCACAAGTTCAAGGCCAGTTTTGGGACACATAGTGAGACTCTGTCTCAACCCCCTCCCCTAAAAATAGAATAGAAAGCTATCCTTTGGCTCTTCTAGAAGCCAAGGAAGAAGACTCAGGACAGGATGCTCCTTGGTTACAATTTGCTCCCAACCGGCAGAAGCCTGGGCCGTGTACTGGAGAAGAGGGGCCCGCCTTGCCTCAGTGCTCAGGGAGAAGCTCTGGCGCTGGAACTCCCCGGCTCGCAGGGTCCCTGTGTCAAACAACACTGACAACACCGGGTCATCCTTGGTCCACAGGTCTTGGTCAAAGACTGTCAGTTCCAGGACATTCTGGAAGGGACCAAAGTGAGATGTCTCCAAAGAGGAGGAGTGAATGGGAAAGTGAGCAGGGGAGGGGCCAGGGTACTAGGACAGGACAGGTGACCATGGTCCACAGGGAGCGAGAGCAGGGCCAGCATGATGCTTGGGCCACCTTGAGTTGGGTGTGGATTCGGAAGCGAAAGGTCTGGTTCCAGACCGGGTTTCTGCTGTTCTTGACAGTGCGTGTCTGCAGTCTGTGGCTGGAGGCGGTGGGCAGCCACAGAGTCACGTAGCAGTCAGAGGGGCTCACTGCAAGGAGGAGGATCGAGTGCTCATAATGGCAGAGAGCCTCCTGAGCCCTGCCACTCGGGCCCACTTCTCCCATAACCTGCACACCATGTCCACCAGGCTGGACCCACTACTTCCTGCCCCCACAACTGCTCCCATCCCTTCCCCAACACCGCTCTGCTGTCACCCGCTGCAGTGGCCTCCCGCCCATTGTGCACGGCCCAGGGGTACAGCATACTCACTCAGGTCCTTGGAGGGCAGGCCATGGGCCTGCAAGACACGCACAAGGAGGAGGCAGGTCCCAGAGACCTTTGCCTGCAGAGGGGAAAAGGATTAGGTCTGCTGTAGGCAGATGGGCTCACAGCAGAGACTGGGTTGATCCTTTGAGGCCAAATCCTGAACCAAAGATTCAGGCCCACTCAGGCCCAGGTCCATCCTTCACGCCATCAGAGTCCCGGGCCAACAGGAGACACAGCCATGCTACCTGTCTACACTGACGCAGGGCTGTGCCCAGCTCTGCGCCAGGGCCCTACGTACATTCACTCACTAGCCACACCAGAGCCCTGTGCAGGGCCACATGATGAGCAAGCCCAGAAGGAAACTGAAGCAGAGGAGCAGCCATCTGCTTGAGATCTAGTTGGGACTGGCCAGCTCCAATTTATGCCAACACCTGGCTGCTTCTATTTCCCTCAGCCTTTCCACCCCACACCCCAGCTAAGCAACTTTGGCACTGGTCGTGGGTAGCAGGGCATATAAGCTATCAGGGGAGGGGAAGGGGCCTGTCAGGGTCTTGGGCACCTTGTGACCTGTCCCTGTGCTGTCTCCTTCCTGGAGACCCACTCTTTGTACAGCAGGAACAGTAGCCAGCACCCTCCAGGTTCTATGATGGCCTCTAAAGAGCTCCCTCCACACCCACTCCCTGGTTCTGGGGATGTGTACGCCGGCCAGTGTGCTAGGGCCAGAAAAGCCTGTGTTGACGGGTCCTTCCTGCTGGTCTCCATCCCTGCCTCTGTAAGGCACCATCTGATCCAGTCCAGAGAGCTTCCGGGGCAGGGGCTGAGCTGGGGAAGCTCATTGCCTATAGCAGCCCCAGGGTTCTCACACCCCAAGCAAGTGAGTCAGGAGAAGCATCAAGCAGCCACTTCCCTCTGGATTCTGGGATGGGAGCCTCTGAGTTCCTGGGCCCATTGCCAGGGCAGAAAGTGCCTCAGCCCAGATCCCTGCCTCAGCGCACTGCCCTGGTCCCACTGTCCACAAGCACCCTCTCTGTACCTAGAGACCACAGCTCCTCTAAGAAACAGCAGAAACCAGGCGCAGGATGGGGGCCAAGTTCAAAGTTCAAAGTTGGCTAAAAGTCGCTCGCTGGCAGAGACCTCTGCAATGCCAGGGAGGCCTGGGTCACGCACTGGAGAAGTGGGGCCTGTGCCAGACGCCCTCCATGGTGGGGCCCAGTGCCCTGTGAGGCCTTACCAGAGCCATGAGGCTGAGTCCTCAGGAGCAGGAATGATGGAGCAGTGGCCACACGAGCACCGACTACTGGCTTTTAAACTGGAGCCGGGTGTCCCGGCTGGCTGGAGCTCCTCCCTAGTTCCGCCCAGCTGCCGCCTCCACTCCACCCAAGTCCATGCCCACTGAGAACTGCCACCCGTCCTGGAAACCAGGCACCTTAAGCCTATACTGGAGCCCTGACACACTCACGCTGCCAGCCTCAGATCCCCGACATCCCAGATGCCCACCCGGGGCCTGCTCCAACCAGCCCTGCCTGGGAGGAGAAGGCACCAGGAGAGCATGCTGTCAGGGCTGAGCTGAAGGAAACCAGAGCCTGCGGCCCAGAGCAGCGATAAACTGAGGAGCCAACTGCCCCAAATCAGCCAGGCCTCTCGCAACCTCCTGGTACCAGTATGACAGGAATGCCCAGTCTCAATTGGAGCCCTACAGGCCCCAGCCCAACCTGGCAGGGAAGTGGCTCTGCCCTGTCAGCAGCCCTTCAAAGGCATGTCTGGGTCTAGGCTGCCTCCACCCTTGGGGCGGTGTGGCCGGAAACAAACCTTAGGGTTGTCACTCAGAGCCAGGATCTCTTCCTACTCTTCAGAAGAGGTGAAGGAAGCCTCCTCCTTCCTCAGGGGGACAGCTCCAGGAGGAACAGGACTTCTGAGCCTTTGTCTGTACCTGCTATAGGGTAAACAGGTCCACCCCAGAGCACCAGACCCCATCAGCTGCCCAAGAACTGAGAAAGGAAAGCAAACCAGGGCAGAGCCAGCAATGGCGCCGGGGCCCTGAGCCAGGGAGGCTTCAGTCAGGGCATCACAAGAAAGCAGGCCAACTGCCTGCCCCAGGGAGGGGCAGCAGACAGCTCCCCAGGTCTGCATCTGGCCTGTACCCCCATCAGGATCACCCAGAGATGTTTACCTGAACCTTCACACTCTCGCCAGGCCACAGAAAGCAACAGTGACAGTGAGGATGAGAACAAGTGAATTACAGATACTTTTATTGACCACGTCCTCGGCTGGCCATGCTGGCCTCCCAGATACCATCTCCATCCCCACAACAGCCCTGAGGTGGACCATTATTATCTCTGCTTTGGGCCCAGGACACCAGTGCCAACAGGAGGTGATGCGCCCAAGGTCACAGCGTGAGTGACTGCTGCACGCAGTCCCCACTCCTCCTCAACTATGTGGCAACTTCCTGGCACCCTCACTCAGACCTGCCCAGCTCCTCCTGACTGCATCCCAAGCCTTGCTGGTCCTGGGCCAGCAACAACGAGTACTCAAACCCTAGGTTATCTCTGCAGTTGACCAGGCCAGGAGGGACTCCCTTTCTTCTGCGCTGTCCTTGGTAGTGTCCACAGGGCACCATCAGTTGAGGCCTGCAGCCTTCGTGAGGGAGTCAAGCAGCTGGAAGTAACTGTACTTGAGATCATACTCCATGTCATACCAGAAGTTCACTGTGAAGGGAACAGGGACCTGAATGTGAGGGTCCCTGTACAGCCCCCAACCTTCCCCAGATGCCCTGCTGGCCTTGGCCAGGACTGCCCCAGGCACATCTCACCAGCTATGCAACCATGGGACTGCTGGACATGGTGGAACCACAGAGCTGGCAGGTAGAGCAGCTCGCCAGCCTGCACTGTGCAGCGCAGAGCCTGGGCCTGGCTGTAACTCGGGTACCGGGCTAGGTCTGGAGCCAGGGGGTCCAGGGGGATCCAGGGCACCTAGGACACAGCAGATGCCAGGAGGGAACAGGCCCCAAGGCCCAGGCCCTCCAGCCCTATCTCTTCCAAAGGTGAATACCATGGACCCCCATCTGCTCTGCACTCCAAGATCCCAGAGTTAACATCTTCTGAGCAAGGTGCTACCTCAAAGATCCTCCTGCCTATCCCTCAGGGCCCTTTTGCCTCCCTAGGAACAGGACAGACACCTTCTCCATGGCTTCTTCATCCACCACCTTAAAGGTGCCCTCTTCAGTCAGCTGGTAGCTTGCTGGTGTGTACATCTCTGAAGACCGAGAGAGAAGAGTATGGGGACTCTTGCCAGCCTTGCCAGCTCTGCCCCATCCCAGCAGGCCCATCTGTTCCCTGGGTGCAGGGCCAGAGGGCTGGGAGTTCTGGTGCAGTTTAGATCTGTAGCTGTGCCTCAAGCCTGGGCATCAGCCTGCCCAGGGCTCTTGCTGCCCTCCCCCACTACAGGCTGCCACCACCACAGCCTCTCTTTAGGCCACATCCCTACCATAGGGGATGAAGGGCCGGTCACTGGGCGGATGTAACAGGAAGTGCTTCTCTCCAGACACCACACAATACAGGTTCTCATAGTGGTCCTTGTGCACTGTGAACACAGGTAAGGCAGGGAGCAGCATGCATATGTGGGGGACAAATCACCTCACTCTCAGCCTTGTATCCCAAGACTACTATGACAAAAGGGTCAGCTGGCTCAAGAAGGTGCCAAGGACTCAGGTGTGCACCACAGAACCTAGCCCACCGGGACTGGGCCCTGGTCAGACCCCAGCTCACCTCCACCATGAGGGCAGGTAGAGCCAACAGGCTTCTAGATTCCTTGACCGAGCTGGCCTTCAAAGAGCCTTCTAGGGACCTAGAAGAAATGGTCCACCCTACTCCCAATACCATGAGTACCCCCTCAGCTGTCAGGGCAGACCCTCTGTAGTGTCCACATCCCAGAATCCCAAAGGAAGTCAGAGAGATCTGCCAACCTAACTGCCATTCCATCAACCTTCCATGCGAGCATCATCTTCCCTCCCTCTACCCTGATGGCTCCTCCCTACCTGTGATCCCCAAACCTACAAGATGTCACTGCAGCTGCCTCCCCAAGCCAGAAGTTCACAGCATCAGGTATCTTTCCTGTGGGGAAGAGGGGACAGGTCAGGAAGGCCCCACACGGGGTGCTCGGCAAGAACCAGGCAAGAGTGAAGGAATCCAAGGAGTCAGGGAAAAGAAGAAGAAGGAGGGAGCGCCTCCCCTGAGGTGAAAGAAGAGCAACAAGCTTCAGTTGTGTCTATTATTAAGTCCAGGCCAGAGGCAGGCAGGGGGCAACCCCTGACTTCAGAGGACTCAACCAAAAGCAAAGTGAGAGAACAAGCAAGCAGGCTGAGCCCCTCCCCACATCATCCCTGCCAGCCTGGCACCAGAGACCACCCCACGCCCCGCCCCTCCCTGTGCCACCTGACGCACCCAACGCCTCGGAAGCCCAAGGCACATGGGGCTCCAGGTCGGACAGCAGCTGGGACAGCTCAGTGGCCAAGTTGGAGCACTGCTTTTGCACGTAGAGGACTCCTGGGTGCTGGGCCTGGCCCTCCAGCACATCCAGCACATGGCTCAGGGGCAGGTGGCGCTCCGCGGGCATCACAAAGCGGTCCCCTCGCACCACGTCTGCATAACCGTCTGGAGTCACAGCCACACTCACCTCCGTGGAGCCCACAGTGGCTCTGGAGGAACAGACGCAAGGCTCAGGTCCAGTTGCCAGGAACCACCGCGTACCCAGCACCCCAGGGAAGCACCCACCTTAAGTAGGGGAAGGACCACTTCTGAAGAGCTGGCCAGTGCTGCAGGGCATTTCGGATGATGCAGGGCCTGTTGGGGCACACCCAGTCCCGGAAGAAGCAGAGTGGAGTGGGGGGTTGGTCCAGGTAGGGCACAGCAGGAGGCATGGTGAGCTCTGAGACAGGGAGTAGGGGCTGAAGGCAGCAGCACCATCTGTTCCACTACTGTGTAAGAGACACCCTTCCTGGGAAGGCTGTCCTGTGTCACTGGGTAATGCCCGCTGGCTGACCCAGGGACCCTGGAGAGAGACAGCACAAGGCCCACACAGCTACAGAGATGGCCCGGGGCTGCTGCTCAGCCCATAACCCAAACTCGCCACGAGGCCATGTTAGGCCCCGCCCAGTGGACCCTCAGCCTTGCCACCCGGGAGGGGCCAATCCCCCAGCTTCTCTTAGGCAGGGAAGCTGGGGGGGAGGCCCAGAGTGACCTCCATGGGCTGGTCTGGAGCAGGCATGGGGCGAAGCTCGGGAAGGCTCCAAAAGTGATGGCGATGTGGGCAGCAAGGGGTGACCCCATCACTACCTCAAGAAGCTTGTAACTCACCTGGGGAGACAGGCTGTCAGGTGAAGACACTGGAGGAGACGTGTCTCACCATTCTCAGGCCCTGGGGGCTGCAGGGGATGCGTGCAGCTTAGGTAGCAGGTCTCTGGTGGACCTGTGTCAGCCTTAATTAAAGCCTCTCCTTTTGGACTCACCCTTCTCTCTGCTCCCATCATTTTACTGTCTCAGTCCGGTTGATTCTCCCAAAGCCACCTCTCTTTGCCTGCTCTGGGCCTGCTGCTTTTAGTCGTCACTTAAACGTCACATAGGTAAGGCTGCCTTCCCTGACCACTCTTGAAACTGCAACTGCCCCTACTCAGTCCTCCCGTCCCTTCCCTACTTCTCTGCTTTATCAGCATCTGACGCACTATACATTCCACGTGTATTTCCATCTCCCTCTCCAGAATGACAGCTCCACTGATGCAGCTCTAGTACCTGGCAGGTCATAGGCACACAGGTAATACATGCTTACAGTTCAATGTGTCTCTGACATCTAGCTGGATGGTTGCTGCAGTGGACTAACTAGTCTTTCTGGCTTAACTCGTCTCTCAGAGCACCATCATCTGGCCCCAGTCGTCTGTCAATACAATCTCATCTTGTCACAAGCCTAGTAAAGAATCCTTTGATGTGCTGGGTATGGTGGTGTGTGCCTGCAATCCCAGATACTTAGGAGGATGAGGCAGGAGGATAGCAAGTTTGAGGGCAGCTGGGGCAACTTAATAAGACTCTGTCTCAAAATAAAATTTTTTAAAAGGGGTGGGGATGTAGTTAACCACGTGTAGGGCTCTGGGTTCAGTTCCCAAGGCCACCCCGACACACACTTTGATGGATTACCAGTTTTCCTTACAGAAGACAGATTGGTTGGCAGGCACTCAAAGTGCTTCACAAGCAAGCAAAACCTACTTGTCTAGTATAATTTGATCCAGTTTCATGCCTACCCCTCACCATACACGCTGTACTATTTCATTCCTACAGTTGACGAAGATTAGAAAGCCTCTCCCCCGGTTTTTACAAGGGGGCACGACTTTGCTCTGTTACATTCACGTCCAGGTCTGCTGAAAGGCCTTGGCCCCAGTCAGTGCTCATTGCAACCTGCTCCTGGGCCCCACACACTCATCTCACCACTGACATCGACCTCCCAGGGCCACTTCCCCAAACCAGTCACCCTCACCTTGGAGTTACCCCAAAACGAACATCTTTATATCAGAAATTGGAACCAAGTAGGAAGACCCTGGTGTGCCCAGGAAAAGGAAAAGAACTGGCATTCGTGCTTGCTTCCCTCGCTAGGGACAAGATGGATCCTGCCAGGTAGACCTGGGAGGGTGGGAGGAAATGCCAGGTCATCAAAGTAGTCACCTCCAGAGAGGTGTGATGGCATTCAGTATGTCTTCCTGTTGTGCCTATTGGGATTGGGAGCAGGGGCAGCTCTGGGATTCTCAAATTATATAGAAGCTGTCGTATTTTATTCTTTGGATTTCCTGAAGTTGTTTCAGCTTTATTTGCTCACCATTTCCTTTAGAGAAGGACTACTTTTCTCTCCTAGTGCTTCAAAGTAAGAGAATTTGAAAAGGGATCCAATCAAGTCACCTAATAATTCTTCTGCTAAGAATTTAACCAACAAAAATGCCCATGTGCACAAAGAATCTACTTCAGGCACGCTGGCTTCATTTCACTAAGCACACAAGGCATACTGCTACCTAGAATGTGCTAGCCCACCCCTCTCTTCTAACCTACGACTTCCCTATGACTTGCTTTTAGTGTGCCGATGGTTGTCTTCCTCTTCACTGAGAACATAATCTCCGTGAACTTGTTCTGTCTGTTCAGTGATGTACTCCAAATACACTGAACAGAGCCTGGCTCACAGAGTTTCTTTAAAAAATTTGTTAGGGCTGGGGATTTAGCTCAGTGGTTCCAGCGCCTACAAGGCAGGCGCAAGGTCCCGAGTTTGATCCCCAATACCAAAAAAAAAAAAATTTGTTAAAATACTGAAATATTCATTGTAGCATTACTGAAAGCACGAGACTGGAAACGACCTACATGCCTATCTCTATGGGCAGATACAGCCCTGCTCCACAGGTGTGAAAAGACCCAGGTGAACAGATGTGGAATGACCTCCAGGAGGCACGGTGAGGAAAAATGTGCTTAGCCGGCAACCGGTTACAGTACACCAAGAGGGGTACAGACTCACGTGTGCATGGACAAAGAAGTCTTCTTGGAAGCCTGCAAAGCGGGTAAGGGGCGGCAGGAAAGCTGTTTGTGGTAGTACTTGGGAGTGAACTCAGGGCCTGGCACCCCAGTTCCCCCTCTATATACAGTGAAAGCTTACATACATGACATACATATCTGCCTGCGTTGCTTCACGGTAAGAAACCACATGAAAGAAGGTACATCCAGCATGGTAGCGCACCCCTGTGGTCCCAGCACTTTGGGAGGCCAAGGCAGGAAGGCCACAAGACAAAGCCCAGCCTGGTCAACTTAGCAACTTGGAGATCTTGTCTAAAGATAAAAAGGCCGGGGATGTAGTTCAGTGCAAAGGCCTGAGGTTCCATCCCTAGTATACCGCAAAATAAATAAATGCTCTAAGTAATAAGTACTATTTTTTTTAAAAGAGCCTTCCATAGAACTGCCACCAAGCTCTGCCCAGGTTTATTCAGCACGGGGGGCTAACCTGGGGAACCCAGAGGGCACCAGGAAAGCCATAAAACCGCACTGGGCCTTGATAATAAAGCGAATCACCACCCCGGAAGCCACGGCAGCGGCGGCGGCCCGCGTCTACTGCAGGCGCCGCGGACGAGCCCTGCCCTCAGAGGACGGCGCAGGCGCACGAGCTCCGCGCTCGCGGTGCCCACTGCCCCCCTGGAACTGGCCTCTAGGCGCCCCAGGGCCCCTCCCACGTGGATCACACTCGGACGCCGATACAGAACCCACTCACGCCGCGCCTCAGCCGGAAACTCTCGTAACGCTCTTCGCACGGCGTCCAAAGCCCCCGCCGCCATGACGCCTACGCCACGTGACCCCGTCCCGCGTCGGCTCCCGGCCCCGCCCCGGACGCACAGCCCGGCCCTCCGAAGTCCCCACGGCCTCGGCTCGAGTTGCGCCCCAGGTCCCACTAGTCACGAAGTAGAGTGAGGAGCAGGGCCTTCTCTTAGCCGGCCGCACTTGCTGGCATCCCAGAGTTAACAAACCATTGTGTTTATTGACAAGTTCATACATCAGTACAAACGGACACGTTAAAAACAGTCCCCGCCCTGAACAGCCGGAGAGGAGACAGGCGCCACAGTCCAGACAAAGTATAAAAGTTATAAATAAGGGGCTCTCAAGACGGGCGGGGCGAGTCTGGACAAGGGCAGCGGCGGCCGACGACCTTAGACATGCACAAGGGGACGTGGTGCCGGCCACAGTACCCCAGCCGCGCCGGGCAGAGGGCAGGGGAAGGGCGACTGCCTTCTCACGAGCCGCAGCGGGAACGTAGCGCTAGCCTGGTGGAAGACTAAGCACCTGGCCCTGCGCGCCTAACTCTGGTGGGCTGTGGCTGGTAGGGAGCTCCACCCCCAGCCGAAAGAGGTCTGGGGTCCAGGATTTGAGCATGGCCATGCAGGTGGTGTTGGCAGAGACAGATTTCGGCCTGCTCAGGGCACCCTCGGGGGCAGTTTCTTCACAGCATCTACCTACAGCGCTGCCCAAGCGTTAGCAGGCTTGTGTAGCCTGAACCTGTGGTTGCAGTGGTCCTGCTGTTGTGGGGCAGAGGGAAGCGGGGGACCCAGAGACACGTTCTTCACCCCAACTCTGCTGGCTGCTTGGTCCTACCCTGTGGGCCTATGCCCGCTCCTTCCCTTCATCACTAACAACCGCCCCTTTAACAACTGCCCCCTCACCTCTGCCACTTCCTTCTGCCACCTGCCACCTGCCACCTGCCAGAGTGTCTCTTGGCCCCTATGCTTCCCTCCCTCCCAGCATTGCTTCTGTGGAGATTCATTCTACCAGGACCAGGTAGATGTTCACGGGCCACGTTGCAGCTTGGGTGTAGACACCAAGAATCAATGTTTTGGGTTTACTGTTTCATTCCTTTCTGTGCCTTGATGGTTCCACTAAGCCAGGCAGGGTGGTGAGGCTGAGGCAGAAAGTGAGGGGGAGCCCAGGCACACAAGCCAGCCGAGTACTCCGGTGATGAGCACACAGCTGGGGGGGGGGGCTGATTTCATCCGTGGCCAAAGTCCTAAGAAGGTAGACTGGCCCCCGCTAAAGCATGAGGGGAAGCCCACACAAGCTTCTGACCGTGTCATTTGGGATGCAGTGAGAAGGCAGTGGCCCCTGGGTTTCGGCACGCTGCTGGGGACCGAGGCAGGAGAATAAGGAAGGCTAAGGGGCTGAGGAAAGGAGGCGAGAGCTTCGTGTCTGCCCAGCAGAGGGTTTTTACTGTCCTGCAGCAACATCCCACAGCTGGCTCCGCCCGCCCCAGCCAGGAGGGGAGGGGCTCTCAGGAGCTGACAGGAGTGGAATGTGGGGGCTCAGGTCCTGATACCAACTCCAGTCTCCTGATGGCTGGGGACACTGTGCCTCTTTGAGCCTCTGTGAGCTGCCAGAAGCTGGGAGAAATAAGCCTGCTCTGGGAGCCAGCAGTGTGCAGCTGTGTGAGGGGAGTGGAGGTAGAGGTGAAGGTCACCTTTGGCTAGCGGCACTGAGTACCACATCACTGCCCGCCTCTACCCCATGGAGTACCCTGTGTATGAGCTGATCCCTGAAGTAATTTGAAATGGCTTCTAAGAAGGGAGGGCCAGCCCTTCCCAGCATCTCTCAGATGGGGCAGGCTGCCCTCCTACCGTTCACAGCACCAAGATGACAAAGACTCAAGACCTCTGCCTGCCAGGAGCCACTGCAGGGGCTGTGGAGGCAGGAGTTCCAAGGAATTGAGGCCACAGTCAGGGAAATAAATTAATAAATACAGGGCCCCATGAGGAGCAGCTGGGAAAGCTACTTCCCCACTGAGTGCTGGCCCCTCCATCCACTCTGAGCATCGCGCAGGTCACAGTGAGTAGAGGAGGAACCACAGTTTGGAATGGGGAGTGTTCACTTGGGTCTGGCTCTGGAGCTCAGAGTTTGCGTTCCATGCGCCGCTCCACGGCTCGAAGCAACAGCTCTGAGTACTGCTCCAGCAGGGCCTGTGTTTGCTCGGCTCCCACAGCCCCAGGGCTGCTGCCTGGGCTGGACAGCGCAGTCCCAGCCAGGCCCTCTAGCTCCTGCCGAACCGAAGAGAAGGTGTCTCTGAGGAGCCGAGTGATTCGACTCTGTTCCGCTGAGGGTGTCTTGCAACCAGCCACCTGCAACAGAGGTGAGTTGGAGGATCCTGGAGGGCTGGTCCACAGCCCTACTGGCTGCAGCCTGCCCCAGAAGTGACTGGCTGGGAATTCCCCGCTTCCAAGATCAGCCAGGATGACCAGGGACTGTGGGGCTCGTTCAGACTCTGGAGGGTATCCAGAGGAGAATCCTTTCAGATTACAAGACATCTATAGCTTGCCAGCCACCCCTCATGATAGCTTGCACAGGCTTCACTTTCTCTTTCACAGTATGGACCCTTGCCTGTCTCCTATGCCTAGCGTGGCCAAATAATTTTTGGATATGAAAAAGACAGTACTTGCACTGGGACAATAGGCACAAATGAGGACATGGTCATTCCATGCCCAGCCTCCAGTCTAAGGTCCCCATGCTTCACCGGTGGGTGCCTGGTTCAGCAGGCTTGGCTTAGCCTCTAGCTCCGCCCACTTTCTCCATGCAGGGCGCTTCTGAGTGCTCCAGCAGTATCACCCTAGACACTCAGCTGCCCCACACTCAGCACTACTCATGCTCCATCTCCCTGCCAGCTGGTGCCAACACTCACCAAGTGGTAAAGCCCCACAGCCTGGTGCACTTTCCCTCGGAGCTCGGCCACAAGTTGTTCACACTGCTCCAGGCTCATAGCTGGTTCTGAGGGGGACAGACATAGCTCAGTGAGGCTCAGCAGCTTCCATCAGGCCTCCCCACCCAGGGGCACTCAGAGCAGGAGAGGCCTACCCTTCAGAACTGCACCCCACCCCTTAGTCCTCTGACCCCCTTCCCTTCTAACCGCTGCCCCCCCCCCAGCAGCACACAAACAAGGTCCAGAGGATAGAGCCAGACCCAGACCCAGAATCCAGAAGGCACTGCAGGGGTAGGTGGGTCACAAGATCATGAGGGTTGGCAGGAATGTCTCACCATCAGGGGTGTGACTTATGGACTGAGACAGGAACAAACAGCACGAAAACGCCAGAGGCTAGACGCACAGAAATGGGATGTAGCCAGAGGGTGGCCGACAGACAGGGAGAAGGATGAAGCAGGAGATGGGAGCTATGGAGCTGTGCACACCTGAGTCCCGGCTCAGGGCTGCCCCTGGCCTGGTGCATTCCATAGGGTGGGGAGTCTTCTCGGGGGGTGGGGGCTGCAAGTTCTCAGGGCCTCGGAGGAAGCTGCTGACTGGCAGTCGCTGAGCACCAGGGCTGCTGGGCCCAAGATGAGCCTGGCATTCTGTCCTAGGCTTGGGGGTGGTACCCTCCCCCACACAGGCCTGCCTCTCAGCTGGACTGTGAGCCTTTCCTAGGCCTGCTAGGGAGCCAGGCTGCTCTGTTTCACCAGGGGCCCGGCCCTGGGTTACAGGTGAGAATGTGGCCAGGGTAGGGCGGTCAGGCAGTGGTTTGGGGATGTCCAGGACCAGGTGAGACCGGCTGGGCAGGGTCAGCTTGCTGAGTGGTAAGACTTGCAGTGGAGCAGGAACTTGAGGTTCAGCTGCTAGGCCCAGGTTCTCCCCAACAGAAACACTGCGGGCCATCTTGGCCATAGAACTGGTGGTGGGGCTCTGGAAGGAGTGTGCCCGAGATGGACGCCCATCATCCTGGGGCAGGGTCTCCATCTCCCGCGAGAACAGGGGCCCCAGTGCAGGTACCTCATCTGCAGAGAAGAGACATAGGCAGGGAGCAGCTGTCACCTTGCACGTCCCCACTCCAGGCCCGTGCCAGGCCCACTCTGCCTTGCCTGCCATGCCTCCCACGCTCCCCACTCCCTCGAGCTGAGCCTTCCAGGCTCCTCACCCTGTGGCATCAGACTGTGCACAGACTGGGCTTTCAGGAGTCCAGCTGAGGGGCTGGGTGTAGCCACTCTCTTGGGGACCCAGCTACTGTCTGGGCTGTGACGGCGGCGTGGCAAGAGCACAGGAGCTGCCTGGTGGGGACCAGGGTTGCCAGAGGATGGTTCCACCTCCAGGTGTGCTCCCAGGGGACTGGCACCACTGCTTCTCAGCTGCTCACCAGATACCTGTGGCACCTGGACAGGTCTTGACATCACTGCCAGGCTCGAAGAGGATGGGAACGGTTCCCTGAAGGGAGGACATATGGGAAAAGCTCAGCACTCCTCCCATGAAGAGTGAGCTGCTAACAAAGCACCAGCGAGGCACTAGGAGAGAGGACAGGCACAAAGCCAGAAAGGGTCGG